TATATATATATATATATATATATATATATATATATATATATATATATAAATCACCCGTTCCCCAGAGCTAATTGTCATGATCGACAGGTGGTATCAAGAAGCAGGGCCAAGAATCACTGACGGAGAAAGGCTTTTGGTAGAAACAAGGACGGATCATAAGTATATAAGGTTAGATAGATAGACTAATGGGAGAACGGTACGAAAAACTCCCCAGTGTCAGCAGCGATACAAGCAGTTGTGCAAAACCAACTGGGGACCACAGTGATCCTGCGTCTGTGTGAGAACTCCTGTCTCCTAGATCCATAAGGTTGAACCAAACCCGAACCCATCTCAGGAGGCCTAGACGGATCGTCACAGCTATGACGAGGACTCCTCGGTCAGCAATTGAAACAGTTGTCAACCAACCACTGATGACAGCAGTAAATCACATACCCTACTGTGTGAGGACCCCAATCTCTCAGGTTCAGCAATCTGGCCACTACCTTCGAACCCATCTTAGGGGGGTTGTACGTATATATATTTGAAGCCGTTGATATGCCTGCCTTGTTGCCATTGTTTATTTAGGCCTTGATAGTTTTCTTGCAGTTATTACAATTTATCGTAATGCGAGAACTGCGCTTCTCCTTCTGACTGGTTCCGTCTCTTGACCTCACTCGGGGCCTTTTCAAGAGTCCCTTGCTAGGCCGTCTGCAGGGCAGCTGCTAACTCGCGCTACTAGCCGTGATAACATATCTAGTTCGCAATTGCTTATAAGAAAAGTGGAAATACTACGATATATATGATGTTGGAAAAAAGTAGAAGAAGGAAAAGATTCTAAAGCGTTGTAGTTATTTTATTTATGCTAGCAGCGCAGGGCGATGTAAGTTTCGCAGCTTCTAAATTAACATTTAACTACCCCTATTGGTGTCATGGGGCTAGATTACGCTCTGGTCCGGGGTACCCAACCAACTCACGGCCGCTCACAGGGCACCTCCCCCTTTCTCTGGCGCCACTTGCCAGCGGGGCCCCGTGGGCCTGTGAGAGGGTCCCGCTAATCCAAAATGCCCATCTATGGATCTTGTGGTCTTGTAGGTTGATCCGAGAGGTGCATGATCTTTTGCTACCGCTGGTTTGCGTCGCGCTGCAGTCGGGCGCCAGCTCATCTGATCAGGGTTTTTCCTCTCACTTGCAGCGCTCGCTTGCTGCTGAACATCCATAGCCCCGGACATCGCGCTCTTTCAAGTGCCTTGCAGATCTCGGCGTGCATCGTCGGTCGAATCGCGGGGCTTTGGTGCGCCGATACATACATCAATCGTTGGGGCGATTTCGACTTTCGACTTCCCTCCATTTTCTCTCTTTTCATCCTTGTCTTTTTTTTCTTTTCCACTTTCGTCCGAAAGTTTGGCTTATCTTCTTTTTTTTGTTATTGTTGTTTATTTTTTTCCCCTATTTTGCGTGTCTCACCGACTTGTGTTCTAGAAGTCTTCTAGAAAGTAGTTTATGATTGACCGACTGTTCGACTTTCCAATTCAAGTTCCAATTCCAAGCAACATCGGTCAAAATGCCTATCCGCAATCCGTTTGCGCGTCGTGCACCTGTTGTCTCTGCTCAGGATGAGAACCAGCGTCCGATGTCCGCTGCCGCAGCCGATGACCCTGCGCACCCTGGGTTTGAGAAGGTTGACACGGTCGGATCGAGGGCGTCATCCGCATGGAGCATTCGCAGCAGGAAGAGTCGGGATACCGGCGAGTATAAGATGAGCGGTATGCAATCTGTGATATTGGTCGGGGTCGGCTCTCACTCAGCCAGGTCACATTGACTGACGGCTCTCAACGGTAGTGGTCAATGACAAGGGCGTCTACCTTCCGGTATGACATTTTTTTTTTGATGCTCGCTTTTGCAACTGAGATTCGTGTTCTAATTGCACTCGCAGCCTTCTCCCCCAGAGAAAGACACGCCCTGGCCGCGGCGGTATCTCTCTCGCGCCTCCAGCCACAGAAGTAATGCGACGACCGACGCGGGCGAGATTGAGCAGTTCACCATCTCTCGCGAGTCTTTTGACTCGTACCGACGGTCATTTGTAATTCCCTTTGTCTCCCATCTTATTCTCGTGAATTTTCATACCAACACTGCAGTAGGACATCTCCGCCCGTCGACCCATTCACCTAGTTCCCGACCCAGCCCCGCCACGCCAAAGTCTCGATTCTTCTGTCTTCCGCTACACAGTCAACAGCCGGACCTCAACCTTTCGACGTGGCATCAGCAGCGGGCTTCCCAGTGCTTTAGAAGAAAAGGAAACCGGTAGCCTGTTTGAGGAAGTCAAACTCAACGATGATGACGAAAACGATTCGGAGAAGCAGCACGATGGTCTGAGGAAGAGAGTCGCCGGGTTGAGCATCTTCTCACGATTTGGTTCTGGGACGCCAGCGGATATACCCTCTGTCGACGACGAGCATCCTCCCCAGCACCAACAGCAGCAGTCGCAAGCACAGACCCAGCAAACCAGCAGCAGCAGCAGCAGCGGCGGCGGCGGCGGCGGCGGCAGTGGTGTTATTTCTCGCTTCTCGTTGCTCTCGGCAGTGGGAAGAAGGAAGGAGCAGCACCACCAGGGGCAACAGGAAGCCGAGCTGGGTATGATATCTTCTATGATTGGTCAGGCTGGTGGCAAGACTGGCTCCGTTGAGGCGGTGTCTGCGCCAGCTCCGCGGCCGATGCCGACTACAACTGTTGTTTCTGCTGCGCGGTGACAGTGTACGGTGATTGGAGATGAATGAGGTTGAACAGATAAAAGTTGCATTATGGTCTATGACCATGGATATATGATGACCGCTAAGTAATCACTATGACGGTGTTTTGGGATGAGGCTAGCTGAGAGCATTCGGTGGTTTTTTTTTTTTTTTTGAAAAGAAATGCTCATCAACGACACCGACGGGATACGCAGCATGTTCATTTACGACCACACATGGCTGAATGACTGGTAGCTCAGTACTAATGGTAGGATAATGTTTTAGGACGTAATAAGAGTGGGTTTTCTCTCTCATGCTATGTACATGTGTGTACATGTGAGCTGTGCAGGAAACTCAATAAACGATGTCACAAAGATGATCTAAGATCACGGTCTATTATCATAGTCGACAACATCGGGTCTCGGGTATCTATCTATTCAATCGCTGTCTAACCATCTATCTATAATACTCTCTATTTCAGCTCCTCTCGCAGCGCCTGCAGACCCTGCAGCAGGTCATCGCGCAGGTCCTCAAAGCCCTCAACACCAATGCTCACGCGCACCAGGCGCCTGTCGACCGACGAATCGCTCATGGCGCGCCACTCAATCAAACTCTCGACGCCACCCAGGCTGGTCGCGTGGTGGAACAGGCCCAGCTTGCTGGGAAGCCGGCGCGCGTGCTGCTCGCTCTTGAGCACGAGGGAGAAGACGGGCCCGAATCCACGCGGCATCTGCTTGCGCAGCCACGAGTTCTCGTCCTTGGCCTCCGGTTGCTGCGACGCGTGCCGCACCTCCAGCACCACGTCGGCTACCACGCTGCCCTCCTTCGCCTTCTCTGCAGCGATCCAGTCAACCAGCTTCTGCGCGGTCTCGCTCTGCCTGGTGACGCGTAGCTCCAGCGTGCGCAAGCTGCGCACGCCCAGCCAGCCCTCCAGGCTGCCCATCACGCTGCCGAGCACGAGACGCTCTTCGAGCAGCGTGCCGAGCCAGTCGCTGGCGCGATCCGGGCGCACGGCCAGCACACCGGCAAGCATATCGCTATGGCCGCCGAAGTACTTGGTGCCGGAGTGCATGACGATGTCGGCACCGAATTGGAAGGGGTCCTGCAGCGGGGGCGGGGCGAAGGTCGCGTCGACGGTGAGATAGCAGCCCAGCTCGTCGGCGCGCTGGCGGAAGTAGGCCAGGTTACGGGCCTCTCCGTACGGGTTGAGCGGCGTCTCGACGTGGATGACGTCGCCCTTCTGCAGCGCCGCCAGCGCCGCCTCGTCCTCCAACTCGACGACCTGCAGCCCGTTGAGCTTGTTGAGCAGCTTGAGGATGCCGTGACAGCCGTGGTAGCCGCCGCCGATGGCCACGCGCCGCGGGTTGAGGAATACCATCATGGCGTGGAAGGCGGCCAGGCCCGAGGCGTACGAGACGGCGGGCGCGCCGAGCAGCGAGGTCAGGATGGTCTCGAAGCGGGTTGACGTGGGAGACTTCTCGCGCGAGTAGATCCAGAAGGGGTCGTGCGACGCCGCCTGCTCGGTCCAGAAGTTGGACTCGTCAATCTCCGACCAGGGGACCAGGTCGTCCGGGTTGGCCGCATAGCGGTAGGTCGTGCTGACGTGCATTGGGGGAGCCACATCTGGGTTTTTGTTGATGTGGTCATCGGCGTGCACCGACCGCGACGCCAGCGACAGCTTCTTGTTGAAAGCCGCAGGCAGCTTGGCCGCAGCGTCGTTGATATTAGGGGCCATTTCCGATGAATTGTCTGCTGATGGTTTCAAGGGAGTGAGTGTTTGCTTGAGTAGTACCTATAGATCTGTGTCTCTGTGTGTCTGAGTATCCAAATGTGTGTGGTATTGCTTGTTTGCTGGCAACTCCGTCTCCCGATTTTTCACTTTTTTTCACACTTTCGGTCCAAATCGAGGTCTGCTGTTTACTCGAAACCCAAGAAGCACCAAGAATACAGGGAAGGAAAAAAAAAAAAGAGGAAGAGATAACGGGCTAAAAAAAAAGTCGACCCAGGGGCAGCTAAGGTCCCTTTTGTAACGCGATCATCGGCATCGACGGGGGTGAAGATTCGACGTCGGAGCGGGACTGGCTCCACAAAAAGTGAGCTCGTCATTCACAGGGCGAAGCGCTACACCGGCAGATGGCCTGGAGAGTGGATAACCATGTTCACCAGAAGAGGGGAGAGGGAGGGGGGGAGGGGGGCGGGCTGGGTGATCCCGGTATGGATACTACGTACTAGCACATGCAACGGTGAGTGGAACATGGAAAGCCAGTGAAGCATCGGAGGGCTTCTGCTTAAGTGAAGACTCGGCGGGCATTGCCTGGGCGAGCGTTAGGACGGATTGGTTGCCGTTCCCCGTTCCCCCCACATGCAGCTTGCCGCTGCGTTCCACTGTTTGTTTGGCTTTTTCCATCCCTCAAATGTTCACCGTCCACAGTGCCATCATGGACATACTTAGCACATGGGGTGCATGGGTGAGCGAACAGTGAATATTCAGCAACGTTGCATCCCCCCGCCACCTACACACGTGTAGCCTGTATAGCCTGTACTGTAACTGTAGCTATCCGTTTCAATGACAGCCTTTCCGACCCCCAACTCCGATGGCCCGACGTCGCGTCCGGGCTCGGACCGGCACAGCTCTGGATGGCAGTCCGCAATCCGGCCTCGATACCACATCGGCGCATGGCCCCCCGCAACAAAAGCCCTGCCTGCGGTTCCAGGTTCCTCAACGCTTTCCTTCTCTCTCCCCCTTCCCCCCCAAAATGGGCGGCGTGGCGCTTGTGGCGTCTGTATGTAGCGCGCTGAGGCAGGATAATCGACCAGCCCACGGCCTGCCACGGCTTGCGACAACCCTATAATTGGAGCATCATCGCGTCAAAGACTAGTCCAACAGTGCAGAAGGGGGAGGCTTAGAAGCTGCAGCGCGCGCTTGACCAAGGGTTTGACACAACGCCTGCAGGCAAACTCGCCCGGCTGGCCAAAGATCGGCTTTGGAGCCCTGGGGCATGGAGACTGATACTGCGTCTGCTTCTTTCCCCTTCGCTCACTCTCATCCTCATCCCCGTTCGGACTGGATGCATATTTTTTTTTTTTACGACAGGCGCAAAGACGCAACAGGAAGGCCGACCGGCGACCGTCCAGATCAAAGGGCAGCAGGCTGCGGGGTGATTCACTCTGCGACAGCATGGCCATCCCTGCGCACCATGGGCACGGCAAGGCTTCGTTGTTGTCATCGAGGATAATAATCCCTTTTATAGGTCTCCTTGACAGCATTTTAAATCTTGATTTGCTTGTTTCATCAGCTTGGCCGCCCAGATCAAATATAGCATAGCCCTTTTGTCTCACTACCATGTGGTTGCCATGCTTCTCGACCCTGGGAGCCTCGTGCTGCCCCGGACGTTGCCAGTGCCGTCAACAACATGCCGCGGAGCGTTGCTCGGTCGAATTCTCATAAGACTGCAGCTTCCAAAGCATGACAGCTCACACATTTCCACGCCTCATCATTGACGTCTTGGCAAACACGGTACGCTGTACGTGGTGAACCAAATTGTCGGGTCATAGTGTCTCGGATGCAGGCCGACGACTACTACGGTCCATATCCGATCCATACCCCGACACATGATCACATCATATAACCGTTGCTGCCCTCCGTCGAGGTTCAGCCCGTAGCAGACGAGATCCAGATGGTCACATATTGAGCCAGATCATCACCTCACTAGCGACATAGTCTCTCGCTCGCGCAGAGTGGATTCGTAAAGCAGTTTCACCATGACGTCGAACGGTCACCAGGGCAGCGGCAGCATACCCGCGCCTCGGAAGCGCGGTAGACCAGCTATCGACTGGACGAATTCACGGAAACGAAAGCTGCTGAGGTTGTATCTTTGCACACCCGAGTCGGAGTTGTCGCTCAAAAAAATCCTCGCTATCCTGTCTGAGGGGTCGTTCCAGCCAAAGTAAGCATTCTCCTCTCTGGAGCACTCGCAGATGTGAGAAAGCTAATCCCCTAAGACCACGACACACACAATGTCTCTTGAACGAGATGTTATCCAAGTCCTACCGCCGGAAACGCCCACGCAATCGGGCTGGCATGAGAGAGCGTCTTGACTACCTGCGCTCCATCCGGACGCAGGACTTCCTCCACAGCACAGGCTTGGAGGATCGAGGACCGGTCGTCCCAAATCCAAAGCCCGAAGTAGTCAAGCGCTGCTCCATCCTCCTCAAGCCGAACCCCTGCCGGCGCAAGACCATGGCCAGCAGCTCTCTATCGCCGATCCAAGTTGATGACACGACAGTCCTACGGGCTTATGACGACGAGCTGCTCTCCCCAACATCCAACCACTGTCCTAACACGGCCCATGGGAGCGAGTGCACGCTGAGCCCGGAATCCCTCGATAGCGGCTTCTTCCCTTCGTCGGCGGGCAACAGCTCTGAAGACACAGATGCCGATGCAATGACTGACAAACCATTCCCGCGGGGCCTGTTTCGGGACCCGTGGTCTTCATTTCCCATTTCTCCATGGTCGGAGTCGGCAAGGCTCGAACATGTGAGAGACAGGCATCGTGAGCGCATCGAGCTTCTTCGCGAGCACTGCCCCAGCCGGTCATCGTCCTTCCTCTCTGATGTCGCAAGCTTGATCGACGGGCTGTCACTACGATCGAGCGTATCCTTATCCCGAACAGGTTCTCGGTGTTTAAGCATCGTCGTTAGCAGCGAGGACGAAGACTTCCCCGAACAACAACAAGCTGCCCAGACCCAAACCCCGTCAACCTCAGCCCTCTTATCCTCCTCCATAACCGCATCGGCCTGGTCTGCCAACACCAGCACCTGGCATCCAGCCCCGACCAGCCTCTCCTTCCCTGCCCCCAACACAGCCAGCCCAGCAGCAATAACATCCTCGTTCTCCGAACCCTCCCCCTCGTCCGACTTCCTCTCTTCCTTCCCCACAGACTCCCCGACCCTCGCCAACCGCGAGCTCCTCCTCACCTGCTGTCGCCACACCTGCTCCTGCATCCACCGCCGCATCACCGCCCTCCTGAACCATCCCTCCCCGGTGCAAGACCAAACCCCATTCACCTGCACTCCCAACGAAGCCTCGTTCCTCGACCGACTGGGGAATACCACGCTGCACGTGGCAGCCCGTTGGGGGGCTCCGCTTCCCGTGCTGCTGCGCATCGCTAGTCTGTCGCGGATCCCAGCCTCGGCGGCGAACCATAGTGGTGAGACGTTCCTGCATGTCTTGGACCCTTCTGGGCTGGGGCGTTCGGAGCTAAGGCAATTGGTTGGGTGGCTTAGTGTGGAGGGGAAGCTTGGGGTAGAGGATTTTGCGCGGGCAGATCATCGCGGGAGGACATTTGTTGAGAGGTTGCTGGAGAGATCGGGGGAAACGTTTGGACTAGAGAGTTTGGAGGCAGTGTTGCGGGCTTTACCTGGGCCGGCGAGGGTCGCGATTGTGAGAGGGCTGGTTACGAGAGAAGGGTTTGGGAGGGCAGTGGCTGAGAGGCTGGAATTGGAGTATAGGACTGCTGAATGGGTTGCGGCGTATGGGGAGTATTTGATCGGAAGATATGGGATATTGTGAAGGGCGCAAAGGGGTTCTGAGAAAACGTAAAATATACCTATGCATTGTACAGAGGGGGAAAAAAAATAAATAAATAAATAATGGGATTGGTTCTTCTTGCTAGGAGTTAATAATATGGGCTTCCTGGTTGAGACAGATAGAGTGGGATAAAGATTTGCACAAGCATGACATGATCTGCCTTTCTCTTCTTGATATCCGCTTGTTTATAGATAGATATCTTAGAGAAGAACAACAACAATTGGGCTGAGGAGCCGCTGTTTGACCTCCTTCGACAGACAAAGTCCTTAGTTCGGGGGAGACAAATTCCCCGCAAAATGTCCATCCTTTTCGCTGTCTGACAGCCCTCATCGCTCGATCCAGGCGAGAACCGGGCCAAACAGCCTCCTGTGCTGTTTTGCTAGAGCCCATACGATTTTCCGATGGCGGCTACACTGTAACGGTATCGAGAACGTATCAACCCTCTGCCGAGAGGCATCAACTGCTCGATCGCTCATCGACAAGGACCACAGCAGAGGTTATTATTATAAGACCAGCATAATAACCCTTTGCTACCACACAATCTCACCCAGTAGTTTCCTCCAACAACTCCGTCAGTGTCACAGCCTTGTACCCGCGTCTTTGCAGCTCGGGCAACACCTTGCTCAGCATAGGCGGCGTCCAGCTTCGTCGATCATGACAAATGATAATCCCTCCCGGGCTCAACATGCTCAGGATGTGCCTCGCATTCAACCAAGGCCACGAGATCTGCGCATCATGTGGGTATATGCTGCCCAACACAACACGATATCCCAACTTCCTCGTGACACTTCGTATCCGCTCGCTGAAAAAGCCCGACCCAGGCCGGTAGTACCTCCTCCTACCATTCGCACCGGGGGCCTGGCGGCCCGACTCAGCGTAAGCATCCTCAATCAACCGCTGAACCTCCTTGATCTGGCGCTCGAGCTCCCCAGCAGAGAGTCTCGTAGCAGGCTCGTCATGCATGCCGTGATTCGCTAGCTCATGCCCAGCGCGCACGATATCACGCAGCATGTGCTCGCGACCCGCGACCTGGGAGCCGATGACGAAGAATGTTGCGTGGGCGCCCGCGCCGGCCAGGGCAGACAGTATGGCGGGGGTATGGTCGGAGGGAGCGTCGTCGATGGTTAGGGCGACAAGTTTCTTCGAGGGTGGTAGCCACACGCGGAAGAGCACATCGGTCCAGCGGTGGGAGAGAAGGCGGATCAGGAGGGACGGCGGCTTGTAGACAGCATAGAGAGGGAAGAGAAGGACGAGGACCGTCAGGGCGAGAAACGCGAAGGTCGCCATGCGTCGGCGGCGAAGTCGGCGGCGGAGGACCGCGTGTGGGAGCCGGAAGAACATGGGATTACCTTCACATCGATCGGTTCGATAAGAGAGGCGAGGAGAGGTGTTGTCGTTGTAGGAGGATGAGAGGGCGGAGAGGTAAGCGTTGCGTTCGCTCAAGACACCATCATCACCTCAGCTGATGTTCAGGAGAAGAAGACGAAGAAAGGAAGAAGAGAAAGAGAATACGAGGGCTCAGGAAGTCGCATTCATTGGTGATGGAGCCTGGACCCATCGACCCATCGATACCGAGAGAAAGGAGAAGGCGCACCCCCAGGGAAAAGAAAGCCAAAGATAGGTCGAGCCCGACCAACAGAGCAATGACGCCAAGCTAAATCCGGTTAAGACACGGTCAAGCTTTCGCCGAGACGCGCCCTCCAGGGGCCAAGCCAAGCTCAGCTTCTCGACCTTGTCTGTGGTGTGTGTGTGACCTGAGACTCGAGAACCTCAATAGCCGGTGTGGCGGTGCACCTGTGGCGCGACTTACACGAGACGGCCGATTTTTTCAAAGCCCAGGGAAAAAAAAAAAAAAAATCTCGAAATAAGTGTTATAGACTGTCACCAAGAATTCATGCTGAATTACTGGAAAGTCGGTCGACTAGATTATCCTAGAAAGTCTGCACTTCATGGGATGAAACAGTAAAAATGCTTTGACTTTTTGCACGGCCCAGACCCTTAAAGAAACCAAGTCATCCAACTTGACATTATCCACTAGTCAACACAGCAGTCGAAAGTCGATGTCACAATAGTAACATCATGCGATCCTATTCCTTTATACATGGAACCCATCTCCAAAATGCAGAGCGACCGTTGTCCGCTGCCGGCCATACCCAATGCTTTTTCTAACGCGAAATATGCAAATACCGCAGCCAATCCATACCATAACCCGACCAATCCAACCTATGTACACCCAGTCCCCATCCGAAACTCACGCCATCATAATCATAAAAGCTTTTTTAAGTCTTTTTCACTCACCGTGCTGACAAACGCATGCTTGAGAAAATGAAGCCATGTTTTGTTGACATGCTTCTTCTTACCCTTCTTCTTCTTACCCTTCTTACCCTTCTTCTTACCCACGGCACCTACATGGTCATCATCGTCACTATGTTCCTCATCTTCCTCCACATCAACTCCATCCAACCCCTCGCCATCCCCTCCTGCCTGATCAATCGGCATCACAGACGCCTCCTTCCCCATCCTCATCGCTAATTCAACCATGCTCCCAACAGTCAGATCCCTGAGCTGGTAGATCTCGTCCTCAAACGTGCTGTACTCCACCACATAGAAATTGGCCCTCGTGGTGTCGTTGAGCTCTCTTAGGCTGTTGAGGAGTGTCAGGTTGGCAACATATTGTGTGTAACCTGTCAACGTGAACGGTTGTGGGGAGTAGGCAGGTCCAGGAGGGGCGCCAGGAGACGGAGGAGAGGGTATGACGAGGTTCGGGTCATGGGGCCTTGGCTTTTTTGGTTGTTTCTTCTTCTTCTTCTTCTTCTTCTTCTTGCCGTCTGTTGCTTGATACTCGAGGGGATCATTATCGCTCTCCGAGGAGAAGTCCCGAAGATCGAGGTGTTTTTGTGAGTTCTCTGAATTGGCAGAGACTCTGGAAGCGCTGCTCCACACGGTAATTTCCTCGAGTCCACTGATGTTATACTCGATGATGCGCAACGTGGGGAAGTAAGTGGGCACGACGCTGGGTCCGACCAGCGAGAGATGGTATCGCTCGCCCCAGGGGTCTCTGTGCTGCTTGTTCTTCCCACCTCTTCTTCCTTCTCGGCGGATAAAGCTTGGGTCGCGCAATCCGGTCGGCGGCGGCGTGACTGGCTTCAACTTAGCCCAATCTCTACGTAGCTCCAGGAGGTAATCCGAAGCTGATTCTACTGAGAGCTCACCCTCGATCCGGGTGTCGTACTCAGCGAGCGCTGCTCCCGACACGGCAGAAATGTCGATGTCGCCTTTATCGTGGATGAGAAAGTGGTCAATATTCATGTGGCCAAACAACCCAGCCACGACCACATCCCTAAAGTGGTGCATCCACAATGCATACTTGTGCCAGCACGTCTCATCCCACAGCTTCTTGCTCTTCGTCCTTGCAGGCGGCACATGCCCAACGATAATCGCCTTCATCCCACGCTGCCTGGCCAGCTGTAGCTGCACGCGCAGCCATTCTAGTTGTTTGAATCCAGGCTCTTCTGGATCCGCACAGCCATCGACACCGGCGTTGCGGTCAAAGAAGTACAACGTGTTCAGGCTGAAGACAGCCAGTCGTCCGGGCACAACCTCGACGTGGAACCAGCCGCCAAAGTCGAAGCTGTGCCGCTGCTCCTCGGGGATAAAGGGATGCCAGATACCAGCGTAGTGGCGCAGCCACTTGTTAGGGCCGGCGAGCAGGATGTTGTGTGGCAGGATATCGTTGTTTCCGAAGGTCGGGACCACTGGAATGGCCAAGGGGCTCCCGTAGTTCCCGTTGCCGGCGCCGAAGGTCTGCATGAACATGTCGGCGATCCGTTTATTGGCACCTAACACCTGGTCGGGGGTGCGCGGCAGGGCCTCGTCGCGGTCATGCCGCGCGCTGTCGCCAGTCCAGACGACGAAGTCGATCTGGTCCTTGATGTTGCGCTCGATCCAGGCGAAGGTTTCATTTACGAGGGAGTAGGGCGCATCGCAATCAGTCGACGGCGCCCCGAAGACGCCTGCGGTGCCCTGCCCGCGGTGGCAGTCGTCGTCGGGGTCGCTAGAAGAATGCGGCTGGTAGAACGTATCGGGGTGGATGTCTGCTGCAGTGTTAGTTGCCTGATCCCCGAAAGCTACCGAGGTGATGAGGGGCACAAACCAGTTATGTGAAGGAACTTGCCATGCAACCGGCGCGGGGTATCAACGTTGCTGACTGACGGTGTCTGGCGTGCCACTGCATGCAGCGGCTTGGCAAGATTTGCAACTGCTGCATGCCACAGCAGCGCCAGGCAGAAGAGCTGTTTTATTGACATTGATGTTGTCGATACCAGTTCGATGGTTTGGGAAGAGCTTGGAAATTGGGACGTAGCAAAATAGGAGCAATCGAAAGTTCCGATTCAAGGAAATACACGGAGGAAAAGTTGGTAGCCTCGACAACCAAAAGTCGCGTTGCTGCGCATTCACATCAGACGAATGTAAGCAAAACCTACACGCACTGCGTTTTTGATTTTGGTAGTCATAGAGGTAGAGATGCATGCAAAGTCGGTTGAATTGATATCCAGAACCTGCAGACTGGTAGTTCTGCGACTTTCTTGAGGATCCTCGCTGGTGTTGGAGAACCTTGCTGGATCGATCATTTTAGGCCGTGCGACTTTGGTGGCTAACCCGGCCAAGAATAACACTTCAAGGATGGCCCAGATGTCTGGCATAACGCTGCCACCAAACTCTTAACTCCTGCCCAGACCTTTGGCCCTCAACATAGTGAGAAATCTATTTCTGTGTGTGTCATGAGAATATTCGCCGCGACTTTGGTTTCCATCTTCATTGTCTCTTTACTGTATTGCGTGAGATGCCAGAGTGCTCTTGGTGACCTATCCTGCGCCAGCATCCCCTCGGTAGCTCACTGCAGGTCTGGCATCTCGATCGGGTCGCGTGGCAAAGGTGCAGGGCCGAATCCAGGACCATTGCCAGTCGAGTTTCATCCCACGTGTCGGCAGTGGCCAAAGGCCCGAGCTCTCCAAGCTCTTCTCGACCCTAATCGACCTGCGCCAAGGGAGCACGTTGTTGATTCTGATGGGTGGACACCGTCAGTTAAACATAGGCATATCCCGGTTTTCATCTGTGTGACTCTGGCAGGGTTTCCCGCGTTGTGTGACCAGTCAAGTGACACGACCGACCCCTCCAACGACGTCACAGGCGGGAAGCTGCCAGAGATCTCACCCGTGGCGCGCATCCTCAGCCGCTCGCCTCAGTCCCACCCCATGTTCGCTGCGGTTTGCAAGGCTGCCCCCACCCCACCAAAGCTCGAAGTGGTTGCGGGTCCTATTCGGCAGCTCGGCCGGGCTTTGGAGGGTCCTTTGCGTCTTGCTGCAACCTGAAATGATCCAAGGAGAAACACCGATGCCTTTCTAGTGTCCCGTTGGATTCAACTTTCATTATGTTGCTGACAAAGCTAGCTGTGCTCCGAGACCCCGAGAGGAACAGAGAGTTCCTGTAACAATGATCATGTCATTATCGTAACTCTATACAACACGGGGTAGCAACCGACCAAGCCCCAAGCCCTAAGCCCCACCAAGCCGAGGATTTAATGGTGCAAGATTCCAACTGTCTGGTTGGAGGAGCGCACAGTTATCGTCAACAGTTTCCCTGTTAATGCACTGTGTAGCTTATATAAGGCTAAAAAGTTTTGAACGTCTTTTAGTTTTCTCTTTTTTCTCCTCGTATGCAACTGCTGCTACAGCAGTGGCACACCTAGCAACCTGCGCCGCATCTAAGGACTCCAGTTCCTCCGTGTCCTGCGATTGCTCATTGCACGTTGCGAAAGCAACCGGCCGAGAGTTTGAGGGATTTCGGAATGGCCTATCGCCCTGACGATTTCCTATGTCCATCGGCGACATTGTCTGGCTTGTAGGTCCCGTGCCTGTCTGCAGCTTTCTCATGAATTTTTGCAGTTCCAATTCGTAGTCCAAGTTGTAACCGTATATTTGACTAGCTATTCTATCAAATTGGCCCTAATCTATTGATCAAACGATGTTCCTGGCTTGAAGAGTAAGAAGTTTTAGGCTGGAGATGCTCGCTTGATTACTCATGTCTGAAGGTGAGACTGGCGCCTCGAAGCTCAATATGGTTCATCGTAGTACGCTTCATTTTCCAGTTTGCTATGGCCGCATTCCCACAATGTGTGATAGAAAGGTTGAAGAGGGTGACGTCCACCCAATTGAATTCATATTGCGCTATTGATCTTATTTACTTTGACCTTGATACCGCCTAAGCATCCAATCTGTCCAATCTGTTGTGTACTAACACGTTTCCAAATAGCAGGGCCTGACAACACAAAACATATTAATGCTACAAAAAAAAAGAAAGAGAGAGAGAGAGAGAGATAGACTGTGTGTGTGTGTGTGTTTCTATATTGTTCTCAGGGTTATTGGTCTCGGAAAAGGGTCTCGTTTCTCCTTACCTCCTAAGTTTTTGTTGTCCTGGACCAGACGTCGTGTACATCATACCTCCACCTTCATGGCATTCAACTCCTGACCGGGGCTCTTAACAATCTGATCAATAGACCTCGATGGACTCGAGGTTGTACCCGTTCCGACACCCCTCAAGATCGACTCTTGCCCGCCATAGCTGTTAAGTGGCGACCCAGCTGTGGAGCCACTCATAACGGACGCAGTTGATATCGGCCTAGACCTCACCGAGGGAGCTCCAGAAAAAGAGCCTCGCTGCGACAGGACCGTGTCGGGTGAGCCAAGTGGTGGGCTAACGTGGCCAGGGTTGTTGTAGAAGTCGGCGTTGGTGCTGCCGTTGCCGTTGATGAAAGGAATAGCAGCACCGATGCTCTCGTATAATCGTGTCAGCGTGGGAGTCCGTCTGATGAGACCATGACCGGACTCCTCGTTGAGCCGGGCACGGTTGTCGGCTAGAGCGGTTGTCTGAGCGGCTATGTCAAAGGTTGGATGGATAGAATGTGTAAAAGTGTCGACTGGTTCGGCTTGTTGAAGTGTTTCCGACGAAAGGTGTTGTCGCGGCGAAGGAGTTAGGCGCTGTTGTGGTTCATGCCGGTCAACAGGCTGACGACCTTCTGCTTGCACGTCCTCGGACCTATTGCGATAGGGCTCTTGACTTTTCAGGCCATCTTTCTCGTCGTTAGGTCCCTTGCGGACAAGAGCTTCGGTGTTGCGGCTGACGGTCTCCTGGTCTGTCAAGGCTTCTCATTGTCAGTAAACGATACATCAGTGGCGTTCTTCCGATAAGGCAAGGCGAAAGACTCAACACGGGAGGGCTGATTCTAGACCGAACAGTCGCCGAAGGAAGGTGAAGCAACTTGACAACGTACAATTCGAGGACCAAGGCCTGCGCAGACGGTCGACGATGCTGATCACCAAGATGCCGATACCGGTGCAGATGAGGACTGGAAGGCCACACAAGGCTTCCAAGGCTCTTTGATCCGAGCGGCTCATGTTAGACGGCTATATGAGAGCCGAAGACGTCACCGTTGAGAAGATTGGCGTGTTTGAGAGTTGAGAACTGACAAGACAAGTGCACAGGCACCGCGCCTTACACGAAGCGAGTCTGCACTTACATTGCAGACAGATTACGCGACTGGAGACGAGCCCCTTATATCTCCATCTAGAGATAAAGTTATGTACATGGCAGCGACGAACCCTATAGGACACGACGACCACAACATGGGATCGCCAAGAAGCCTAGGCTAGTCGGGGCTGCTAAAAACGTCGACAACCATTTGGGAGACGAGGCACCGCAAACACATGGAGATGAGACGACCTCAATGAGATTTCAGCCTTCTGGCTGACAATGACAGGTTTCAGGAGGGGCGCAGTTAACCCACGGTACTTCAGCCCCGGCTCTTCGGCCCCCCCCCCCCCCGGCGCCCCGGGATCTGCCCGCCCTCCCCTGGACAGACAGGGGTTGATGGTTCTGTGCAGCAACGGCAGTCATGTGTAGGTACGTAACCCGATACATGTCAAGGAGAACCCCTAGTGGAAAAACTTCTGGAAATTTTCCCGATAGAGCTGTATGCAGGGGAATGCATCTCGGTGAGGGTTCACCTGAAGAAAGTGGTGGATGACGTGGTCACGTAATGGGCCACGAGACCTCGATTTTGTTGACCAAAAGAGCGAAAATCATAAAATTAAGGGGACACATACCGATGCATTGACTGTCGAGTTCCTGGTGATGTCGGTCTTGAGATGCGAGCGAACATCTCAATTCAGAAACCAGCACGTGAGGCTCTGGATTTCAAGATAACGAGTTTAAGCTTGAGTATGAAATTGGTGTTGTGGCAAAGCCCCGAGCATCAACCCGGGGGGTTGTCTTTTTTTGTCTGGACAACATGCCATGAATGTTGAGTCGGGCGGTGTTTTGTAGAGATGGTCAACGTCTTTGTCTGCGCATGTGAGCTGGTTCAGAGTCTTATAGCTAATATTCAAGACGCGGTGATCCCCATGAACGAACAATGCCCTGTGGTCTGGCTTGCGGCGCAGCACGGAGGTCCAGGTTGATTTTTTTCTTTTTTTTAAAAAAAAAAAACAACGGGTGACCGGTGGCAGACTTCAGGCTGCCAGGGACGTTGCTCCTATGTGGCTCAGCAGTATGGCATATGGTGCATGTGGCGGTGCAGTAAAGCTAAAGAACGAGACTCTAGACACCTTCCAAGCCAGTTCATACAGCATGCAGTTAGATGACAAGTAACCCTTGCTATCTTAGTGAGTTGCTGTTGGCTGATGCTTGTGATGGAGGGTCAGGGACAGCTATGATTTGCGGGGATAGTGTGGCAGAGCACATCTTTAAGCTCGGATCTCGTGATTAACAACTCTAGCACTCTTATCGCTTAAACTCGACAGCCTTGGTCTTAAACCCTGGAAAACTTTCGCCCGAAAGTTGGAGAAAATGATACCACCACCGGACAGGCGCAGGCAGATGAACTATTCAGTTCTGTTTTGTTAACTTCATGAACTTTGCACACACTGCACTGCCCCAACCCACATCAGGCAGCTGTAAAATTTTTTGGTTATTTCACAACAACAGCTCTCCTCAATAACTCGCTTCATTTCTTGGACAAGAAATGGACTGTGAACTGTGAGACTTGTAAAAGTGGCTAGTTAAAGAAGCCAACACAAGCAGCCCATACGAGGATCTGCGAGCAAGGTAGAAGTCATTACCGGTCCCCGGTCAGAAACGCCATCACCGATTCCCCGCCCGTGTGGTTGTCGGGCTGTGCATCCCGCAGGCAATCTTTCGCCGGCCGGACCCCGGATGTCCGCCCAGGCGGTGTTGGACAAGCCATATGTGGAGGGGCACGGCGGCAAAAACGTGGGAGGTGACAGTCGATTGGCTCCAGATGCCGGGCATGGGAACTTGAAACGAAACATATGTCTGTTTACTTGTCCCACGACCACTTCGAGGGCCGGACTACCAGTCGGGCCAGCTGCCACGTAGTGATATCGGCTCCGTATCCGCCCGTCCAGGCGCCTTCAGAGGTCTCATCAGAGCTTCCAGGACCAAGACAAAGCTTGCGAAGCAGGGTTAAAGGGTGATTGTTTTGTTTTGTTTTTTTTTCTCTCTCCGTACTCGTCTTCTCGCCAAGATCAGCTGATTCGATGGATGGCTTGCTCGGCGATACAGCCGAGCCATACAGCAGAAAGCGCAATTCGCGGGTGTCGCGTCAGGGTGCACCAGGGTAGGATTGTCATGTCGGCAGCGATAACGGTAGGATTGCAGTTGCAGTTCCAGTGTTCGCTGTTCAGCGAGCGTCAGGCCGACAACAGCCCAAATCGCAACGTTGCGAGCTGGCTTGGCAAAGGTCGCAGTGATGAATTGACTAGTAATAAAATGAGCTGGTTGATCAGCAGCTAGCCGGGTAAGGCTTGAAGAGAGTTGAACATGGTCTGATTGCGATGGTGGATAATGAACGGCGGTTTGATGCAACGTTATGTCCCGTTGTAGCCACGGGCATTGGTGATGGGGCTGGTAGCGGAGATCCAGGCAATCTCGGAGGACCTGGTCTACAGGCACACAGCGTTTCTCCCATCGCCAGCGTAAATTACGAGTTACAACTTTACCGTATTCAGGAACTACGAGAGAATCGAATTCTGCAAGCGTTAGACGTACACACAAAGAGCGGTAGAATTGTGTCAGTCGTATCGTTCTGAACTATTGATGAATGAATTCTCACTCATGCACCGGATGCAGACACGCAAGCTCTGCTGCTCGCGCACCTAGAGCCAACGAGCCAACGTGGAGACGGCAAACGCATGGCAGCCAGCGAGCGCGTGGCAGCATTGCAGCGCCGACAGAGCGGACAGAGGTCCGCACCTGTCGCACAGGGCCACAGGCGAGAGCCCAGGAAGACCCAAAAGTCCAGGGTCTTTGACTGTCCTGGCCGTGGTACCCCACTGCCCAGGCGAAGGGCTCCAACGGTGTTCCTCGAGCCTGGAAGCGTCGGGCCAGGCTAAGCCGATCTAGGTAAAGCACCGAGCCCTGCCCTAGCGCGCAACAGGTGGAGCAGTGGAGCACAGCATGGAGCACGGCAGCCAGTGGTCGCAGCTCACAGCTCGCGGGTTGCCGATTGACCAGTCGCGAGAGGGCTTGTTTCCCTCAGAGGAACACACATATGCGGAGCTAGGCGGGAAGAGCCTGGGCGAAGTCCGGAGGCCGTGTGGACAGCCCTCCAATTCGCGCATCGAAGTTTGACCTTGACGATGTCGCTGTCGCTGGTGATACGGCGGGGATCCATCCACAAGCAAATGTGGTGGCTGCAGCACGCGATAGCAGGACAGAAGCAGCAAAGCCGTCCATGGAGCCCCGACCCAGGAAGACCAGCCTAGACGAGGATGCAAGGCAGGACGGGGCCCGGCGTTGGATGCAACGGTGGTGTCGGCGCAGTGGAAAGCTCATCTCCTCTCGTCATGGATGTCATGGATGGGAGACCTTGGGGGGGGAGGGGGGGAGGGGAGGGGCCTGAGCCTGGGGCGTTCATCAGCTTCCTCACCTGGGAAGGGGCATGATAATGGGAGCGTGGGTTGGGATGCGGGAGAAATGGAGCGGGCGGGAACGTGAAGAGGCTGGTTAATCATTCTGCGACTGCATAATCTGGTACTCTGCCGCCTTGCCTTCCGCCTACCGCCTGGCTGATGATCCTGTACTATACACAGTTGCCTGTCCTCGGCCGTGTCTTTGCGATGAGAGGTGTCATCGGGTGCGTTTCATCATCAGTGCGAGCTGCTGACCTGAGCCCAAGCCAACATTGTTCGGACCAGACCGTGGACGGCAGCTTGCCATGCGCATCAGCTCCATCCAGGTTTGGCACTGCTAGCTGCTGGCCACTGTCCGCTGGCTCGCCAGCGCCCCAGCGTGCGTGCGGGTCACTAGTGGAAGTGGTCCCAGTGGGCAATTGCTGAAAGGTGCAAGCCGGGATGGGCCTGGCCTGGATCGGCGCTGGCGCGCGCCCACCCCCTCCCCCCAGCAGCCGCCCATGGACCCGCAGAGTTCTCACTGGCCGCCAGCTGCGCTGCTCGCCCAGTGGCCCGCCTGCTGGGAAACACAGAAACCCACTCGTGGATAAGCTGCCCCACTTCCCCAATTGACCCTTTGACCGACTCATTAATTCCCCCAAAAGTGCGAGCAGGGCAGCAGCGCAACTATCGACCTCCCACGAACGACGGGCCACGGGCAACCACGGGCCCGAAAAAAAAAAAAATCTCACACAGTTCATTTCAGCTTTCTCTCTTTGCTCCATTCCCCTATTCCATAACCTGCCCACCTCCTGAGCGCGTCTGCCAGCCGCAGCCTGCAGTTCGCTTCGGCCTTGCGCGCGCCCGCGACTCGCGCCCAGTGCTGAGTGGTGAATGCTGAGTGTGAGAAGAGTGCTGAGCTCCCAGCAGAGCGTCTACAGCCTAGCGTCCAGCGTCCCGATCGACCATCCACATCCACAGTACATCATCGGATCAGATCACTTGGCTCCGATTAGATCCCGCTCCTGCGCCCATAGCAGCTGGGAAGCTCTGAAGCTCTTATCGCACCTTGATGGCATCGACGCCACCCGGCCCTGCGCCCCAGCCCCGATCCAGATATCCAGGCCGCAGTTCCCGTGACTGCAGCAGCTTCATCATCTTTGCCCTCACCTCTGCCTTCACCTCTGCCTTCACCTTCGCCTTCACCTGCCTTGCCTCGACCCTGACTGACAGCACCGCGCCACTGCGCGCCATGGCCCAGTGACCCGTGACCGGGAATGCAGTATTGTGCTGCTGAACCGCCGCCAACACATCCCCGAGGACGCCTGCTACCATGTTGTTCGGACTGCTGCTGGCCCGACGACTCTCGCGAACTCTCCATCCTGTTCCCAACACTGCTGCGAGAAGAGCTCCCCGAGCACTTCCGAACCCCAATTGGAGTCTGAGTGGCGGCCTTTCAGTCTCCGGAGCATTAGCTTTCCGTGTCTACTGCGTGTCTGCGCCCACGTCTGCCGCCTGTTCATTGCCTCTTCGTCGAGATTCTGGACTTGGATCCTGGGCCAAGACGTCTATCCAGCTGTCTGGACCACTGCCGTGCCGACTGCGTGCAGCACAGCAACAGCACAGCTTGAGCCGACAAGAGCGTTGAGAACGCCACAAAAACGTTGAGCCAGGCGCTGGTCGCCAAGTTTGTCGAGTAGCTGCTGCTGCTTCCAGGCTGCGCCTTGCTGTGTCTTCAAGATTGCCTGCCGAACAGCCTACCGGAGCCTGTTCTAGCCACCTACGCTACCTATTCCTGCCTATACACACTATCGTCGTGCTGTGCCGCGCGAGCCACGCTGCTGCTGCCCGTCCGAACTCGGCCTCTCTTACCGGTCCCTGACGCTAGTCTAACCGCCTTCCCGCTATCCGCTCCTGCGGACCGCACGCCATGGCCGCCGACAACGTTAACCCGCCGGCATTGACATTGCCGTCATTGCCCCCCCTATCGGCCCCATCATCCCGTTTTGACCGTGACTCCCTGGCCGTCCCCGCACCCCCAAGCTTGCCTGCGCCGTCGCTTGGCTCCGGTCTGGCCGCCGACCAGACACTCAATCGACCCCCGGCGCCGGCTGGTCAACCTCTTCCTCCTCCTCCTCCTCCTCCTCCTCCTCCTCATGATGCATCTTTGGACCCGGCCATCAAGTATCTGCTGGACCAGCAGGCAGAGATCCAGGCAAAGCTGGCCGTCTTGCTGCCTCAGAAATATGGGCCCAACGTCAAAGTGGAGTTACAGATGCTTCGCCACAAGTACCGTGTTTTGCGCGCATACGCCGATGATCACCGTGAGCCGCCCTCTACTTTTCGTCCCAACTATCGCTCCATTTCCCGTTCATTGGTCTGATTTCCTGATCTAGATTTATCCATCCCGCTTTTATCTGAGATCGAAGAGGCCAGAGCATTGCAATATCAGTGTGAATGCATCGAGACAGCGTGTCTCGAACAAGGTAGGCCGTCCCCTATATGTGTTCTGAGAGCGCTCCGTACTCATTTTCTCTTTGTCATTATTTAGGCATCGACATCCAGGATTCCAGATTCCTTGATGTCTTGAAGTATCAGTATTACAGAGATCAAGCTCCCGACGGCTATGCGGCGTGGCTGGACAGAAACATAGCACATTACGATCCCGTGGCCAGGGCCTACCGCTTAAGGGACAGCTTACCCCTGACCCTGCGTGCTAGCCATTCCTACAAGTGCTGGGACGACCGGTGCATGCACTACATCTATGGCTACCCAAACCGCGAGGACCGCGATCAACATTCCAAGGAGCATGTTATGCCCCGTAAGAGGGACTCTGGCCTGTCGGTTGGAGGGTCGCCTACTATGTCGTGTGCTGAGCCCTCAACTCGAGCACACGGGGTCGATTACGGCAAGCAGTCCGCGGCATCGCCCATATATCTTCCTCGCCCAGCTCCTAATTTCCAGCTTGCTCCTTTGTCCACGGGCAGTCAGGGGAAGGAACAACGAGAATCGCTTAGGAGCTATTCGTTTATGTCCGATTACTCGGGTCCCCGTAGCTCTATCGACTCCGAGATCGATCCATTACTGCCACCCCTGAAACGAGCCCGAGTCGGCCCATCTCGTCTGGAGTCGATCGAGGAGCTTCGGCTTCCGCGAGAGACCGGACCCTGCCTGCGATGCAGGCTGTATAATAAGCCGGTTAGTACTTGTGGTCAGGGCAGTAACGCATGATTGTCGCTGACCATGTTGTGCAGTGTGATGGCCGTGACACTTGCGGTTCTTGCACCGAGCCCGTAACGTCTGCAGACGGCGAGTCATGGAAGGCTCTGGGCTGCCATCGAGGGCCGCTTGAAAACCTCGCCGAGGTCATGCTTCCGGGTATGTGCCTTTCGCCCCGCCGTCACTTTCAATTTGCTTACCCCGAGTCAGCAGCTGTCATGACTCCTAGGCCTGCGCGGACCCCCCTGACGTCTCCCCTTGCCGCTCGCCGGAACATGAACGAGTTTCTTGAACGATCATTCGCTGTACCGCAGGACCTTGCCAGGATGGTCAAGACGTGCCTGGATTTCGACGACGGTTTCTGGTGGACAGAGGACCTGTCCAGCTTGCCACCAACCAACCCAGCCCTGTCTTCGTTCTCAAAGGAGCCCATCGACAGACCTCCACCTGTTCTGAGCGTTTTGGCCGCAAGCTGGAACATGGCCGGTACCGCCTACAACCTTTGGCACCTCCTCAGACTCAGCAGCCTGTTGTCGGCAGCGCGCGAGCATGAGTTGACCGGATACCCCATCCTATACCGTGCCAAGCTCTTGCTCAGAGAGACCCTCTTCCACGACCTCCAGTGTCCCGATCCGATCATAACAACGGAGCCCGCCAGTTCGACGACTGCCCATCCGGGCCTCGATGACAACGAGGCATATGGGCGGTTCCGGCTTCTCTACAACTGCATGTCCCAGTTCCTGCAGTCGTTCGATACATTGCTCTCCAGACCCGGTCCTCTCGACCCGAAGAGCTGGTTCGCAGCTTTCTTCGCGCTCTGCATCTTCAGCATCGTTCGGACGATCCTGGTCGATCGAGCCTTCCAGCGCCGGGTCGCGCTGTCCATCCCACAGTCTGGCATCATGGCAATGCACGCCGTCTACAAGGCGCTTGTCCATGTCTTCGCCTGGTCAGCACCTATGCTTCTCGACGATCACGTTTCTGACATGATGGACCACAGTGACCGTGAGCTCTTTGCATCTGTTGCTGCCTTGGTTGGCAGGAATTCATGGTACGACCGCGGCATCCACTCAACCAGAGATTTCCTCATGTCACTTGGCAGCGGTGAGGTCGGAGACAACTCTTATCATGGCTTCATCAAGCCACGGTCGCCGGTTCGGTCAGCATCCGTTGTCCTTCCTCCCATCACGAAGCCGGCCGAAGAAGGAAGAAGGGCCCTGCCGGAAGTGCGCCCCATCACTACGACATGGGGACCCCCTGGCCAAGGACACTCGGATGGTCAGATGTACGTCTTCAAAGGCGAGCCCGACCGCATGCTGACCTCGCCACAATCCATCGAACCGAGCCGGCGGCATACCATCTCGGAGAGCCCTACGTTCACGAGGCAGTCTGGCAGAGTCCCGACATCTCCTATACCGGCAGCTAGGTTTCGGGCATCGTACCAGCGTCCTCCTATTCGGAGGGTGTTTTGCAACAAGTGCAACGAGTATCCGGAAGGTTTTCGGGGCGAACATGAGCTGAGACGACACACGGACGCAAAGCATGCCCCGATGGTCAAAAGATGGATCTGCGCCGAGCCTCTGATTCCTACTAACTCGCCTCAGCCGGTTATTCCCCTTGACAAATGTAAAGCTTGTGTCAATAAGAAGCGATACGGTGCCTATTACAACGCAGCCGCCCATCTAAGAAGGGCACACTTCAATCCCAATCGTGGGGGCAAGGCCAGCGGGGACTGGCCGCCCATGTCGATTCTCAAAGACTGGATGCGCGAGGTGCGGCAGTCGATCGACGCCCAAGACCAGGATGACGCATCCAGCGGTGATGAAGATGCCCAGGACTACAAGCCGGCACCATCCGACTTCGTCTCGCCCCCTCCTCGCCGCTCTTCCCCCATCCTGGAGGCGCCACGTCTAGCACCTGCTCCCATGCCGACTACTCAGCCGCATGACCCTCCTTTACTCGGCGCACCCCTCGAGCGGCTGGAGCCCGTTAACCCTCCTCCTCCTCCTCCTCCTCCTGGCGTGTACCAGACAACCAAAAGCGCATTCTTGCCCCCACTTACTGCTCCTATGAAGCCCAACGAACCGTCACATACCCCGGTGCCGTCATCAACATCGGCATCAACAGCTGTTCGTAACCGCTGCCCCCATCCGGACTGCGGTCGTGTCTTCAAAGACCTGGCCGCCCACATGTTAACACACCAAGAAGAACGCCCCGAAAAGTGTCCAATCGAAACATGCGAGTACCATATCAAAGGCTTCGCCCGCAAGTACGACAAGAATCGCCACGCCTTGACTCACTACAAGGGCACCATGGTGTGCCCCTTTTGCCCTGGCGCCGGCACCCCTCATGCCAAGGCCTTCAACCGCGCTGATGTGTTTAAGCGCCATCTAACCTCCCAACACCACGTCGAGCAGACCCCGCCAAATAGCAGGAAGATGATTCTAACAAGCGTGGGCCGGACGGGCGGGCTGGGAGCTAAGTGTAATATCTGCCAGAGCCAGTTTGCTACGGCGCAGGAGTTTTACGAGCATCTGGATGACTGTGTGCTGAATACGATTGTCCCGTCGGGACCCAAGTCAGGAATGAGTGCGAGGAAGGACTCGTCTTCACGGGCTTCGACGACTACCACTGCGGGCACAGAAAAGGGGAAGGAGCCTGATGTTGGCGGGGCCAGCAGTCATGAGGGGTCGAAGGTGCAGCAGGCGCAGCAGCAACAAAGTGATGCTTGCTCATCTGCACAGGCCGAACGCTGGCAGGAGGGGTCTTCATCCGATGCTGCTGCCCGGCGGTCAGGCTATGAACCTGCGGCATCGTATTCTGCTTTTAGGGTTTACACACATGAAGGACACCAGCAGCAGCATAGAGTGCGCCTTCTTCGGTCGCCCGACGTGCCGGAACAACGCGAGCCAGATAGCATCGCCGACGCCCGTGCCCTCGCTCGCGCGTCGCTCTCGCTTACCCGACCCGATCCCCACGACGATGATACTGATCGTAAGGAGCAAGATGCAGGCAGCGGCAGCAGGGGAGACGATTTCAGGGGACACAGGCCGCAGAATAGTCTTGGTGGGGCCAGTGTCGACAGTGCCGGCTCGTTCCCCGAGACCGAAAGCAAAGGCTCACTGCCACCTAATCATCACCACCAGCGGCAGCAAAGTCAGGGCCAGGGTGCGAACCAGAGCTTTGGGTCATCTACCCCGGCACAGAGGGATGCATCGTCAGGTGATGATGCTATGGATATGGATTGAACAGAACTGAATTGGTTATCGAGCTTTTTTTTTTTTTTTTTTTCATTTGGGCTGTTACATCACTCCACCGTCACATCCTCTCTTTTGTTTTGTTTTACTGTCCAAGATGATACCTTTCGATATCGAGGTTGGAAGGAAGTTTTGATGGTTTTTTTTTTTTTTACCTAAGGGCTTCTAATTCTAATTTGTCATGTATATATTTTTTCACCCTTTTATTCTAGGTATCTACTTTTATTTCCCCCCTCCCTTTTTTTTTCCTTATCCGTTTGATTACCTATCTGTCTTTTGTTGACCGCTGATGTATTGCATGGCATTCTGGACTGGACTTGTGTGGTGTCGGTCGGATAGGCTATGCATGGTAATGGTAGTAGGGTACTGTTTATGGATTGGCGGGGGATATATCCAAATTTCGTTTTGATACCTGGCGATAGGTAATGCAATCGAGGGAATGGGGCCAAGGGCGACTATGTTGGATGTCCCAATTTTTGAATGGCAGGTCCTTGATTTAACATGTCATTACCCGTTCTTGCTCGGCCATCACTGAAGGATACTAGTACTGTTCTGTTAACTATCCAGGCATACATGTGCTTGTGCACTTGAATACCAAGTGCGTTGAACAGAGAAAGGGAGAAAAAAAATAACCAGAAAATAATCAGACTGTATGCGAATCTAAGAAAAACCAGGCAGGTATGTAGACAGTAGGCAGAACGAACCGTACTAAGGGAATCAATCAATCCTCAACTCCCATTTCCCCCCTCTTCGTCCCCCCACCCAAAAAAAAAATAAAATCCCCTTCACAGTCCCCCCTCGATAAGCGATAACAACACGGCTCTCAGCGGGTATTACAGCATCTACGGATCTATCTGGGTAGGTAGTATGCGCGTCCTAATCAACTTCCTCTGTTTCTTCCAAACTATCCGTGAGCCGGTCAACAAGGTAAGGGTAAGTAGGTTACGCATAAGGGTCTCTCCCCCCATATACCGATTAGAAAAACTGTGACAACAACTCAAGAGGAGACCTCAGCCCTGTTTAGTTCAAGCACACCTATCTCACGTCCTACATAACCCAACAACGCACTTCCCCTCAGCCACCAAACTCAAAATCCAAACGGATTATCCGGTGCTGTAGAAAACACAATCGTTAGCCAATCTCGTCTCCGAAATAAAATAAACCGTTATCAAAAGAAACAAGGGGGTATACTCACTAGCAGCAGCAAGATTCGCCCTCCGCCCCGTAGGCTGCGGCGCTAATTTCTTCGCACCCTCGCTATTAATCCCAAACTTAACCGGCGGCGGTGGACCCGTCTTTTGCGGAACCAAAGGCTGCTGCTGCATCGACGGGGGCGCAAGCCCCGTAGGCTGCGGCTGCAGCGGCGGCGGCAAGCCGCTTGCTCCCATACCCATGCCCATCTGCCCCGAGGGCATACCCGTCGGGGTGGCGTTCAACATGCCGATACCGGTCTGCATCGGCTGCAGCGGCTGCAAGCCCGTCGCCATGGGTTGCAATGGCTGCATCATGCCCGGCATGCCGGGCATACCTGTGCGCTGGGGTTCCAGCGGAGGGGGCAGTCCGCCGCCGGGAACAGGCTGTCCCGCGAAACTGACCGCACCGGTAGGCTGCATCTGCAGTTGTGGGACACCGGCCATACCCATCGGCCCCATGGGACTCATCATACCCGTAGGCTGGGGCATTAACCCTAGCTGCGGCTGCATACCCGTCATCATCATCTGCTGCTGCTGCTGTTGCTGCTGCAGTTGTTGTTGTTGTTGTTGTTGTTGTTGTTGTTGTTGTTGTTGTTGTTGCTGCTGCTGCTGAATGGCCCGAGCTTGGGCGATCTCGCTGAGGCTCTGGCCGGGAGGGGCCACCTGCGCGGTCAGCCCGGCCGTGGTGCTGGCAAAGCCGGTCATCTGCGGCTGTAGGGTCGCTGTTGGCGGGGCGAATGGGCTAGGTTGGCCCGTCTGCTGCGGCGCCGATAGCGAGCGGGTTGGCGGGGGAGGGGGGATTAGGCCGCCTTGGCCGGCAGTATACTGCGGCACGACGGGCCGCTGGCGAGCGAGAACCGACTGGGGCTGGATTTGGGCAGTAAGTTGAGGCTGGAACTGCGGTTGGCCGTTGACGATGGTCGACTGGATACCGGTGAAAAAGGCAGGCGAGGCACCAGTAGGCTGAGGGACCTGAACAGGCGCTGTCGCGGCGACGGCAGGGGCTGCGGTCGTCGTCGTAGCGGGCGGGAGGTTGATTGCCGGGGGAGCCGGAGGAGGGGGTTGGACCTTCTCGGGAGTAAGAGGCTGGGTGAGCAGCGAGAGTTCTTGCATCGCGCCCGTGAGAGCTGCTGTGCTCGGAGCAGAAGTGGTAGTAGGAGCAGGAGCTGATGCTGGAGCCGACGCAGTAGGAGTTGGAGAAGCCGTAGAAGTAGCAGGGGTCGGCTGTGAGGCCGGCTCAGGGGTCTTGGTGGGCTTCGGCTCCCAAGCATCGTCGTCGAAACCGCTTTTCGGCTTTGCAGGCGCCGGCGCCGAGGCTGGGCCCTCCTGTTTCTCCTCGGCGCTACCGGAGGACTCCTTCTGCTGCGCCTGCTGGAGAGCCTTGGGATCAATGGTATTGCTGACCTGAACCGGGGGCTCGGGGCGACCCTTGCGAGTATTGTTACGGAGAGTGCCCCCGGGACCGGAGAACAGGCCTCCCTGCGCCTCGTCGTCACCGCCGGTATTGGCCTTCTTACCGCGACAGTACTTAATATCCAAGTACCGAATCACCTTGATGATATCGCCCTCGCGGAAGCCCAGATTGCGCAGCACGGTAGCGTCCACGTCGGGCAGGCAGCTCTCGTCCATGTTCTCGCGGGCAAAGGCCTGCGAGTAGCGCTCACATAGATTCGGCGAGACTTCGCAGTTGAGGAAGAACTGGAACCAGTCATACTCGGGCTTCTTGGGTTGGACGGTGGCACCAATCTTGACGCCCGAGTCGTGGCGGCGGGCGTTGTCAGCCGAGGCCGAGGCGCGCTTCTTGAGGTCGGACAGCGGCCTATCTTCATCGAGGGAGATGCCGGTGAGGCGCTCGACATACTCCAAGTCCTCGAGGGACATCTTGTGGATGGGCACGGCAATCTTGACACCGTTCACCTTGTGCAGATTGAGCTTACCGTCCTTTACGCCGAGGAATTGCGCCTCGACGGTGAAGGACTTGGTGCGATCAGTCCAGGTGCGAACCTTAGTCGGATCAGGCTCTGCGCAGTGTTTCCGTTAGCGAGCATTTCCCGTAAAATTCAAAAGCAAAGGCGTCACCTACTGGACCGGCCGTTGGACGTTCTCGACGAGTCGGGGCGGGTACTCTCGCGCCGCGATCGCTGTTGTGCCTGGAGGTTACCACTACTGCTCTTGGCCGACAGACTACTACTCCGGTCGGGCAGACGCAAGCCGGGGCCTACCTCTTGGGCAGCGCGGGCGGCACGCTCGCGCTCACGCTCACGCTCTTTCTGCTCCTCGCGCTGGGCGGCCTTGAGGGCCTCCTTGGTCAGGCGCTCCTCCTCGAGACGATTTTGCTCGACGGTAGAACGACCGGCGTTTAGGCCGGCGGCGGAGGTCAGCGTGGATCCAGGCGTGTCGAGCAGGCCTGTCACCTCGATGTAGCTGCTGGGGACGACGCCCTCCTTCTGGTTCTTAACCCGGCGGACCATCCACCACTCGTCGCTCTTGGTGTCGTCTAGGATGATGACTTCGTCGCCAACGTAGACAGTGACTTCGTCGTCGCCCTGGGCCTCGAAGTCGTACAGCACAGTGCCCTTCTTCTGCTGGAGCGGCTTGCTGGTGCCAGCCATGATGACCTCTCTAAGGCCCTCAGCACGCACAGCGCCAGCCAGCTCGGCCAACATCGAGACAATCTCCTCGGCGGTGTCCTTGGCACCCGCATGGAAATCAATGCTCTTGCTCGGCTTGACCAGCTCCATGAACACGTGCTTGCCCTCGCGCGAGTAGTGCGTCAGCTTCTCGGCCGACCACTCTTGCGAAGGCCCGTCGTATTCGGGGGCGATCAAGATCATGCCAGTACGCAGGTTGATGCCCAATGTTGTCGGGATCTTCTTCTTCTTGCCCATGACGGAAACCATTTCGTCGATGCTGTACATGTGGAACTCGCCCGGCGTGAGGGGAGCCGTGGGGGTTCTCTGCGGCAGGTGATAATCGCTGGGCGTGCGGTGGTGTGTTGAAATACGTGCCGGGGGAGCTCGGGGGGAATCAGCAGACGAAACTTGCGAGTCTCCGCGTGGCCGCGCTGGCAGCGGCGGCGACTTGACTTCGCTGTCTTTGTCAGACTCGTCCGAAGGCTGCTGCGTTCTCCGCGGCGGCAACTGGTCGAGCGAAGCAGGCGGCTGCTGGGACGAGTTGGCACGGGCGGCCATCATGCCGGCGATCATAGTAGCGGCATTAGGGGCAGCAGGCGGGGCAGAGGCCGCGGCCGCGGCCGCGGCCGAGCTGCTGGGCTCGGGCTCCGGCTCGGGCGCCGGCTGCTCGTTCCTGGGAGGAAGAGGAGGGCTGTGAACATCGGCGGCGGTGACAGAGACGGAGGGGGTCCGGGCTGGGAGTGGCGGGGCGTCGGCTGGGCGTCTCCTCCTCCTCCCCCTCCTCCTCCTCCTCCTCCATCTGTTTATTTGTTTATCTTGTCCGCCTCCCATCATCTCAATATAGTTCGAGGGAACAAAACCATAGTCCTTATCGAGGCCGACAAGGATCCAGTCGGGGTCTGAGGTGTCGTAAACAATGAGCTCGGCATCCTCGGGAAAAGACAGCTCCTCGTCGGTCTGCCGGGTGTACTCGTACAGAGCGCGGGCTTTCCCTATGGGTTGGGCCTATTCCTTCAAGTCAGCCCTGCTTCCCATCACCTGTCCCCTTACATTCCCGTCTGCCCGCTCTCCCGCTCCTGATCGTCGATGCCCATGACGAACTATGCTGGACGTACCTCCTCGATATAATTATTCGGGACCAGGCCGACGGGCTCATCCTCGTCGTCGGCGCTGGCCTTCTTCTTTGCCTTCCACCAGTCATCCTCGGTACTCTTCTCCAAGATGTACAGCAGGTCGCCCTCGGCAATCTGCAGTTCGCCCTCGCCCTGGGGCGTGTAATCGTATATAGCTTTGTAGACGCCTACGAAGCCCATGATTGGCTGCGTTGCTTCGCTCTCGCTTCGATCTCTCACGTCCGGGTATGTATGGTCTGGCGGTGTTGCGGCGTCGTCAGGGTGTCAGGAATGAGGAAGTATATATAATATGGGTGGTATGGTGGCAGTGATAAGTGGCTATCGGCTCGCAATTGCGGCAGAAGACATGAGTTGCAGGGAGGGAGGAGGGAGGGGGGGAGGGGGGGGGGGGAAAACTGCTCAGAGTCACGGCGCGCGCGCCCGCTCTCTAGTCTGTGCCCGGGGTCGGTGAGAGGGGGATTATTATTGTAGGTATGATATTATTAACGCAGAGGGCGTGCGATGGACGATGCGTAAATAAATCGTTGAATCGACAGAAAAGCGACAGACGCAGTCGAGGTGATGTGAGCGTTGAATAACGGGTGTAATCCGTCGTTGCGTGGAATAACGGGGCTGTCCCGTGCTGAGCCGTCTGCTGAGCCGATTGCGCGACAAAGGGCAAGGCAGCGAGCGCTTCGGTCAAGCTGGAACCACTTGAGGGCAGAGAGGTACAGATGAAAAGGTGAGGTACCTCTCCTCCGGAGCCCGTACCCTATGGAGTAAAGTACCGTACTCCGTACCTTCAGTACCACTCGGTCGTCCGTCGTCCGTCGGGCTCGAGTGGATGGCCACTTAGTGGGTTAGTGAGAAGAATGGCGAATCTCGCGCCCGCACTTTTTAAACAGCTAACCGGAACAGCGGCTTGTCGTGTCCTCGGCGGCCTGTTGTCCGATTTTCCAAGTTTCTCCTTTCTCCTTTTCTCCTTTTCTCCTTCTCCTTCTTCTTCTCGCTCGCTGAGGGCTCCTGATGGCGACTAACTCTCCGAAGTTTATTCCCAGCTTAGGACTGGGAATGAGAATCTTAGAATTGGAGTCTTGGGACGGGAGTTGGGGGAATGAGATATGGATTGAGTGGCCCGGGGCAGTGGACAGTGGGAAGAAGAGAGCAGGTGTTGCTCCTTTCCAGGAGTTAGCGAGTGGATTGATTGATTGATTGTGTGATTGATCGATTGATTGATTGGGTCCTGGGGTCCAGTCTTGGGTCTTCGCGAGTCCAGTCGCCGCCCAGTGGGCTCCAGGTCAGCCCGCTGTTGGCCGGGGCTTTTGCTGCGCTGCTGCCCCCGTCGCTGGCTGCCAGGGTCCCTGATTACAAGGTGAGGTGGCGCCGCTCAGGGCTGTCCAGCTGCCGCTACACGGTCTGTCTAACACAGTATTACCAGGGCAAGAAGAGAATGCTCGGCATCACCACACAGGAGTCTTAGTGCAACAACACGGCATATGCTGAGATGTAAGATAAGACACAGACAGGAGGACGTGTCTTTGTAGCAGCCGCACGATGATTATTCCATATATTGGCGACTTGTGGGTCATGGGGATCATATAGGAATCTGTTACGAATGCGTAGCGTTACCGGTAATTTACATGACGATGTGTACGTTATGAAGGTACTATACGGATTAGGCACGAGGGGTAGGGGACGCAGAAGGTGGAGCTCCCAGCTCATCAACGACATGGCACGTGCACGAATACGGGCGCCCAGGACCCCCGGCAGCCCCTTTTCGCCGTCAAACAACACCAACTCAAGCTCAGTTGCCCAGGGCGATGATACATACCGCGGCCGACCCATCATGTTGAATGTCCTGAACCACTATTCCAGCTGGATATACTACCCGCAGTCAAAGAAAGTTGAGGGAGAGAAGACCATTATCGACCCATATCACTCCCCAGCACCAAGACCTCCATCCTTCCCAATAACAACTCCCGGATTAAACTTCCCCAGTGTTCCCGCCTTAACTCTCCTATGTCCATCCTCTTAACCCCTTCTTCCCCTCATCAACCTAAAAAGTCTCTCTCTCACTTATTATCAGACTCATGCATCGAAGACTGCCGTCCACTACCCCTCCTCTTCTGACTCCTGGCCACCATACCAGGGAAGTACCTAGGCTCAACCCCCGACAAGTGCAACTCGCGCGCTGAATCTGCCGCCGCCGGTGTCCAATGGCCGCTTCCACTCATCGACATCTGCTCTCCAATGGCGCTCGGTTCCCCAACGGGGATCATCGGCGATGGCATCATCATCATGGGCGTCATCCCTCCCGCGCCAGCAGCACCCAGCAGCTGGGACTGGCTCATCGAGCTGTGTAGATGGGGGCTGTCGGTCTGCGTGCCGACGTTTGCCCAGCTGACACTGCGGGATGCAGGCGCCGAACCGGGAGCGGGACCAGGACTAGGTGAACCCATGCGAGCCGCCTGGGGAAGGGAGATGTGGCTGATGTTCCGCTGCTGTAGGTGCGGTTGCTGTTTCGGTTCGGTGGTCATGGGGCTCCCAGATAGGTGGCTGGATGAGAGTTCGGGCGACTTGGCAGGGAGCGAGGGACCCGTCGTGGGTTCATCTGATTTGTGTGCGTACATCTCCACGCTATATGGTATTGTCGTCAGCGATGTGTCTTGCGGATGGGAAGAGGTCGACAATCACTTACAGCCTGCGCTCCTCCAGCAGCGTATGATACCTAAACTCCTCTCGCCGATCCGGGACGTTGGTCTTGATCATAGAGTTACCCCTGGCACCGGGCAGGTAGAAGTCCTTGCCCAGCCACTGCTGCTTGATCGCAAACTCGTAACCGCTCTGCTTGACCGAGTTTTTCGCCAGCTCGCACATGTCAACTGAGCTGAGCTTATAAATCTGCGCCGCGACCGCATACTCCTCCATCAGCGGCTCCTTGGTGAACGCGAACTGGAGCGGATCGTCTGTTGACAGCGACACGTTCAACCCGCGCTTGAAGTACTGCAGGAACGGGTTACGTTCGTACGCCAAAAACAACGCATTATTACTCAGCGGCGACATGGCAATGCCGATTTGCTCCAGGTAAAAGATGTACTGCAACAGCGGGACCTTGCGGAGCAGCAGACCATGGCTAATGCTGTGGCAGCACTGGGCCGCCACGGCCAAGTGCTCGCTGTCGCCCGCTTCACCGCAGTGAGGCCGCAACACGAATGTGTTGAAGCCACGGCGCTTGCGCCAGTGATTCAGCGAGACCAGGTTCGCATACAGGTAGTAGATCCAGTACGTGTAAGGAGGATTCTGCTTGCTATCCCACACCCGCGGCACAGGGAACTTTTTGAATAGCCGACGCTCAACCTTGCTCTCGTCGTCAACGCTGTCGATGCCGACTACGCGCTGGAGGAACACGTGTAGTTTCGGGTGGCTCGTTGGATCCTTGGTCACCTCGAACAGCGGCTGGAAGACGTTGCGAACGATCTGCTCGAACGAGTCCATTAGACCGCTCGACTTGTAAACATCGTAGAGACGTGGGATCTGGATCAGCCAGCGGACGTTGTGCGAGAACAGCTTATTGTCAACAACCCACGCCGCCAGCTTATCCCACTCGTCGGGGGATTTGCCGTAGATGGAGATGCGCCACTCGACCATCTGGTACTTGCTCGACTCGAGATCGGCAATCACCTCCTTGGTGATCTCGGCAAGGTACCGTCCCTTGATCAGGTTGTCGGTCTTGAGGAAGATGGTCCTAAGCCGCGACTCGCCGACTGGATTGTACTTGAGGTTGAACTTGTCGAACCGATGGAACGAGTCCTTGTGGGCGTGCATATCCAACGTATCGATACTCAGGTCGTAGGCGGTCAGGTTGATGCTCTCAAACACTTCCTTCAGCGTCAGGTACTTCCCGTCTCTGTACAGTACGATCTCGTCCGGGGACTTCTTCATCTTGCTCTTGATGAAGCGCAGCAGATGCTTCTGGTTCATGCAGGCCGAGTGGTGAACGTGTGTGTCTACCTTACGCACGTTGTAGAAGTCACGGTGCGGTACCCGCTTGCTGTCTGCCGTCTCCTGGTACTCGTTGAGCAGGATGTAGAGATTGAATTTGCCCTCCAGGTACTGCAACCGCCGGAAGGCAAAGCTCTTTGTCGGGCCGTCTGACGAGGCATTAAGGATCTCTTCGAGGTCCAGGTAGTACTCCTTAATAGTGGGCACCTTAACGATCGGTCTTTCCTTCTCCATGGCTTCCTCGTTGTCATAGACCTGGTAGACGCCGTTCTCGTCTAAGCGGAAAACCTCCTCACACGATCCGGGCAGCGGCAGAAGATCATCCATGTCGAAGTCTTCGCCGATGTCCTGACCAGGCTTGCGCTTCTTCGCCTTCGACTTGCGTGGCGTCTCAGGTGGCACTTGTCCCGAGGCCGGAGCCGAAGTCGACGGCGGTGCCTGGTCGCCGGAACGCTGCTTTTCTGGGTCCAGTACCATGCTGTTCTGCAGACTGTTGGGTGCACTGGTTGGAGCCTGCGTACTTGCTCCACGTGCATACTTCTCCTGCTCCTCGGGCCACGCCGGCTCGGGGGGCGGCGGGTAGATGCGCCAGCCGGGCTGGTCTTTGGGATTGTCATTGGGGCCCTGGAGCGAAAGAGCAATGTACTTCTTCCGAATATCCAACACCTTTTGAACATTTTTGAAAATCGTGCGAAGCTCCGCATCGAGCTGGGGGTCAGCATCGGCATATGTGCTGCTGCCGATGCCATGGACGGCCCCTGAGTTCAGGTATTGCTGTTGTTGCCGAAGTATGGCTGCCGCGTCTGGCTGCGTGCTGTAGCCTGCCGTGACCGCGGTGTTGAGCTGGGCGTAGCTGTTCACTCTGCTGTTGGCAAGGCTTTCGGTGCCGTAGGAGCTGGGATCTCTCTTGGATGCCGGCTCCGGCATACCTCCCCAGTCGCCGGCCTGCTCGGCCAGCCTGAGATTGCTGAAGCTGTGAGCCAAGTTTGAAGTGAGGATTGGGCTGTGCATTTGGGATCCGACGCCGGCGAAACCGCCTCCTCCCAAGGGCGGGCTCCCCGGCGGTGACATGTGGGAAACGGGGCCAGAGTGCAGGTGTTCGGCCTGGCTTCGCTGGTAGAACAGCTTCGCATCGACCTCGGTCATCTGGCGCTCGGTGAGCAGGTCATAAACGGCCGTCTTCGGAGGCACGTCGCGCGGCAGCATGCCGTCCTCCATCTCCTCCGTGGACGCCTCGTCCGAACTGGCACGTGCCCCTTGCTGCTCGTCCTGGCGCTCATCGGCGCTCGAATCGGATTCACCCTGTTCTTGCGTGTGGTGACGCTGGTGACGGAAGTCCCCTTGAACCCCTCCCCCGCTTTCACCACTGGCGCCGCTTTCCCTTTCATCCCCCTCCTCGCCCTTGTCGCTTGAGTCATGCACCTCGTCAGACTCGGTGTCACTACGACCGAGCCTCTCGTACGTCTCGTCGTCTGAAGCGCCGGGTGGCATCTGAGTTGCTGGCAGCTTCGGTGAGGTTGAGTTGGACAGTGGATCGTGGGCGTACGCAAGGCCTGGTTGCAATGGTCAATATCCTGTTACACAACTCACAAGCGTTCGGATGTATGTGCTGCTGCCTTAGAGCTCGGAGATTCCGTGGATGAATGTTGGCAAGGTACCTTGGTAGGGATATGCTTCTGACTGTGGCTCTGTGCCTCTCTGGCCTTGCCTTTTGGATGTATGACGGGGGGGAGGGGTTTTGGGGGGTTGAGCTTGAAAGGTATCGAAGGTACAAGGACCTCGCGGGCAGTGACAGGCAGGAGGGAGGGGAGGTAGAGGTACGTGTGTTGTGTTCAGGTCCCCAAGTTGCCATTTGATGGTCAGGGCTCGTGTAGGATTGGATGAAAACGGCGGGAAGCAAAACTTGAAACCCAATCGCCGGCCGTCATCAATCACACTTAAGGGTGTCTCAAGAGACACTTACCAGCCATGATTGGATGTGAAACAGTCGAATTGAATTGAGATGAGAGCTCGAACGCGGGGGGAAAAAAGAAAAAAACAAACAAACAAAAACAAAAAAAAAAAGAAAGCAATCCTGGAGGGCTGGTCACTGTTCAGAACGCTGGACTGGACGCCGCAAGTGGAATTTTACAGGTGTAAGTTAGCCGTAACTCGTAAGCAAGCAGCCACCGCAGATATCGATAACATTCAGAGCCAACGGCGATAAGCGATAACTGTCCGTTTAATATGACACTTCTCGGTGACAGCGTTGGCGATAAAAACTGGCGTTTTTTTGGACAAGAAGTCCACGGTGTTGGAATGTGGCTTGCCTCTTTCACCGCCAACTCCCCAAGATCCCAACAAAGACGACGTGTGAGTCGAGATTTACGCCTACCGTCTTGGACACCGGCACATGAACATGGAGTCATGCACTTGCGACCGTAGCTTATTGGCCCTGGCAGCTTTGGCCGTGTGCCGCCAGTCTGGACTGTCTGGTTTGCGCGTCTTCATCTGTGACTGGTCTCTCGTCTGCTGCATCCAAGCTTTCCGCGATCGGTACCTTCCGCCAACGCACCAGGATGCTGGGCAATGACGTCCGGAGCTGGCCGCTAAGAGATGTGCCAAGCCCTGCCGCCTGCACGTCGTGTCTTCCTCGCCCTGTTATTGGCCAGCGCGCGTCTTGACACACGTGTACCGACCCTAGCCGTGCCAGGAACCCTAGACGTTGTGGATCTCCGAGCGTTGATTTCTTGGGTTATTTCCTGCTGGCCCCCCCACCTACCACGAAGCATCGCTCCGCCGGGCAAGCCGGCCCGATATCAACGGACGGAGACTTGGCAAGATTTAGACGTGCAGCAGCCTCAGCAGGAATTCCGGACTTCGGAAGCCGGGGAACAAGATGGAAGCGAACGTGTGAGTCAGCGCTCCAGACCACAATACGGACCTGACGCTGCCGTGTTATCGGCCAGCTACAAGGACCAATACGACGTAGATAGACAACAAAATCCTGTGTCTATTGTTGTGCTCTCTGCCTTGGGAACAATATATATATATATATATATATATATATATGTATATGTATACAAGCGGAGCCCCTTAGTTCATCCTCCCATTATCAGGATCGGGGAGCCACCCTTCTCATGGGAGGCTTCCGTTTCCCATCGAGGGAGTATAGGCCTCCGGCAAAGAAGACAATTACGGCGCCCACGAGTGTCCCGAATGCCAGCCGGTTGCCAAACAGCCAGATACTCAGCAGCAGGCTCACCAGTTTGCGGATGTTGAGCACAATCGTCACCGTCAAGGCCGAGGATGCGGCGGCCAGGAGGTTGACGCCTCGAATACACGCATATTGAGTCAGCACATTGAGCGCCAGGTAGAAGAGCTGGTTGGGAATCTTGATCCTCTCTATCGCCCGCTGAATGCTCGGCGCAAGGTTAGGGTACTCTTCTAGCGAGAGTTGCGGAGTTGGAAGCTGGAGAGGCGCGCTGTTGGCCAGCTTCATGAATTGCTTAGTAAGGGAAGGGAGGAAGGGCAGGAACAGAGGCAGGGATAGAAGATGCGAGTAGAACAAGTTCTCCTTCCACTGCGGCCCATATCTGCGGTATGTCTCCTCAGTGTAAAGGCCCATGATGGCCGACAGGACCTGGGCAATGAATAAGATCGCAAGCCCAGTCCCAAAGCTTGCGGCGCTGGAGGGTTTATCAGCTGTCGGCGTCCCCTGGACATCCTGTGTAAGCTTCGACCACGCCGTACCATACCACAACCAGACTTATGTCAGAGAAGACAACGTACCTTGGTCTGCGCATCAGACCACGCAGCCGTGATAACGCCGACGGTAAGGAGGATCACTGCAACAATTTGAATCCGCGAGTATCTCTTGCCATACAAGCTCCCCGCAATCATTGTTGTGATGCTACCTCCCGAGCGCAGAATGATGTGCACCGGAACAGAAATATCATAGCTGAAAGCATGGTTGTTGAGGACATTTATGCTGAAGAACAGAATAATGTTGACGAGCCATCGACGAATTGGAACCTTATTCGGCTTGAGGAAGAACGGCGGGCGCTTCGGGTCGAACTGCTCGGGAAGCCCAATGGCAGCCACGAAGAGGAACTGAACGAAAGTCAAAAGCGTTCCTGTTTGACATCAATGGTGCGATTAGCCCACCCATTCTAACAGGAATTCGCTGCAACCTCAGCGAAAGAAAAGACTCCTGGTTTTAAACGCACCACTTGCAGGCTCGACCTTGATGATGGACTCAAGCGCAAAGACGTTGGAGCAGCAACCGCCGAATATTAGCGACAGCATGGCGCCAATGGCCAACCATTGCGGGATGGTCTCAATGAACATGCGACCAGCGAGGGCCATGGCCCGACTAAAAACGGGACGGTTGTCGTCGATGCCGTACATTTCGGCCTTTTCGAGCGAGGGCGCAGCGTTGATGACACGAGGCGATGGTGCGGCCGACATCATGGCCGCCGCGAGCGCAGCCTTCTCACCGCGCTCTTTGTGTGAATTGGAAGGCGACTGCTGGTGTTTGTGCAGCGCCAAACGACGACGTGCCTTCATGGTGGTGGGAGGACAGCCGAAACGACCTGGATCTAGCCTGTTCAGGGCCTTGACCTCGGAGTTAACGGGTGTGGCGCGGGTGTGTGTGCACGCTGAGGGGGGACAGTTTTGCTTGCTATGAACACATAAAAGGGACCTGAGCCGACCGGTAATGGAGAGTGGTGTGAGGGACACCCAGAGTTACTGACAGCCTGGCTGGATTGGGTGTGGCTTGGGGTTATTGACGAAATGGGCGACAGTTGTTTAATCTCACGAAGAGTTTCGAGAGGAAGCGCACTAACGACAGTTAGGACAGCGATTATTTGCGGGTTGAGCGGGCGTAGGGAACGAATTGGCTGTCGAGGTTCGAGAAGTCGCCCAGATGTCGATTCACGGAGATCGGATGGCGAGTGTGTGTGTGAACCGCGAAGCTGGAAACCGCAGGTGATGGCGGGGCAGTCAGACAGGGTGCCGAGAGAGACGAACGAACGGGGGGGGTTGACAGCGACCAAAAGATCGTTCCAGCGCAGAAAAGTACGACTCGCAATGGAAGAGCTAGCGACAAGGCGTCCGTCTATAGCTTTTATCCGCAAGTGTTTTAGTGGCTGCCTGGGGGTAGGTTGGTACTTAGGTCGGATGAAGAGGTTTGAAAGATTGGTACTGTATGTCAAGCGTCTCTCGGGTTGAAGAACAGGACGGGTCTCGAGAGCACGACCTGGCAAATGGGTCGACTGCCAAATGGCCCAAAGCAGCAAGTGAGCCACGGAGCGAAAAGACAGCCGCAGCACCAAATGGCCCAAATCGCAAGTCGCCAGATCGCCAGATCGCCAATCCCTCCTTTATATGGTGACCACCGACTGCTGATGGACCATGAACCGTACAGCGCACACGTTGCAGACGTCCAGGTTGCAGATTGCCCGAGTTCCAGTTGTCAGCCCCGAACTCTCCAAGGTTGCCAGCTGAACTGTGATTTCACGGGCCGCTGGTGCATGGTCTTCACTCTTTGGGGCTTTGATCGCATAAAAAGCGACTCCGGGACCCTGGGAGCCCCGGAGCTACGTTACCTTTTGGCTTCTGCTTCAATAACAAACCTTCGCCTCGCTGGTTCCATAAGCCCACAAGAACGGTGGAGATGCTGGCCTGTGATCCACCGCGACGGGCATTTGTTTTAGCGCGAGCCGGTGGCAGGCTCGCCGTGCGGACCACTAGGATTGCTTGGAGCTCAGGACCAGGTGGCAGTTTCAGCGGACCTGGAAATTCGCCAGACCTGGATCTCGCTCGGTCGCTGCCCTGTGATGCCGTGTGATGCCTGGCGCCGTCCCCTGTGATTTTCAAAGCCGTGGGGTTCCAGCGCCCACGGTGCACCTCGATTGCCGTTGCATTTCTGGAAGCCTGGGACCTGCATGCCCCAGATCCTGTCGGTACTTGAGCCTTGAAAGGGCTTTTTTTGCCCGGAAACTCGGCATGACGAAGTTTGGGGTAGCTTACGGGCATAGAGAGCACTGTGTGGATGGTGTCACCTCGTATCCTGGCAAAAGTGTCAAAACTGTTCTCGAAGCTTTCGCTGAGCCAGTCCGCTTGATCCGTCATTGCCGCTGAAAGTCGATCAATGCTTTCTCCAGCCATGGGACATGGATGTACTTCAGTCACCACTCTGGGCACTGATCAGCCCATAAGCTTTTGTTGAAGACCGGTAAACCATGATGTTCCAGTCCAACTGGACATTTTTCTTGAATGAAAGAGAAAACTGAACCGGGTGATTGAAGCCGTAAAGAAACCGAAGGAAGGATTGCAAGTTGTGGGACTGAGAGCAACAAGAAAAGCATGGGATCGAAGATTGGATGCTGGTAGTGCCCAACAATACACAGCCCTAACCCTCCTTCAGCCAAGACATTTGTCGCCCCGGCTCACCAACGCCCGCCCGCCCATCTATCTCAAGGCAACGGTCAGGGGTTCGGGCTCACAGTGATCACAGTCCACTCACTCCAACTTTGCCCAATCATCATTCTTTGCCTAAGAGGTTTTTCGCCCTTGATTTCGAATAGTATCACTCACTTACCCTAATCCTCTTAATGAGATGAGTTTGTCGTCATGTGAGTTTTCCGACCTTGCTCTCCGCTTCAAACGAGCGTCACAACATTTAGGCTGATAACCCCACAGGACCGTCTTTGCTCTCATCATCATCAACAAGGCCGGTGGTTTAATCTATAACCGGACCTTCCATGAGGGCGGCTTGAACAAGGTCAGCACCAACGACCTACTGGTGCTGGCGGGAACGTTCCATGGGTATGTTCTTCGTATGCTATGAACCTTACGAATACCTTGCTGAACTCGCTCCTTGCAGTGTCCATGCCATCACCGCTCGCATTAACCCCCTTCGACATCTTAGTAATAACGCCAACGCAGCTGCCGGTAACCGGTCCTCCTCTTCATCTGGTTCGCTCGGCCTGCAAGCCCGCCCGGATCCTCCTGCCGGGCTAGAAGTGCTCGAGACAGAGAACTTCCGGATGCAATGCTTTTGCACCTTGACGGGCACTAAGTTCTTGTTGTTCACCGACACCGCTCAGGCCAACGTGGATGTGACGATGCGGCGAGTTTATGACATGTACGCCGACTACGTCATGAAGAACCCCTTCTACCAGCTCGAAATGCCCATCCGTTGCGATATGTTTGACCGGAAACTGTCTTCGTATATTAGGGAGATCAACAACAGGTAGAGGTAGCCAGAGAGGCTTTTAAAGAGAGGTCATGGGAGAGAGCACGGATTCAGTTCTGGTACAGGTCCTGTCGCGGAGTTATCGGGCGTTTGGGAAGTCGGGGGAATCATTTTGTTGAGCACAAAGGATATGTCCTTTTTGTTAATGCCAGGCAACGTTTATTTCTACATAACCCCGGAGACAGCTGGGCCATTCATGATCACAAAGACACCATTATGAGGTGTCCATCTTGTCACCGTCGCCCGACTTATCACCTTTATCATCGTCCTTGTTGTTGCCACTGGGCTGACCATCCTTATCCAGCAGCGGTTGCGTCTCTCCCTCCTCCTTGACGCTCTCTAAGCCGGCCTTCTTGGCAGCCTCTTCTTGCTCGCGCTTGAGCCTCTCCTGTCTTGCCTTCTCCTCCTCCATACTCATGCGCAGAGCCAGGGCAAGTTCGGGATCCGTGGCTGGATCGAAACCAAACTCCCAGTTCTCGCCTCCGGCGTCGCCTGCCAGCCCCCCCGATCCGCTGGTAGCACCCTCGCCGAGCAGTATGGGTGTTGCGATCAGTTGGTCACTGAGCAACTTCGAACTAGGAGGGATAATAACTAGATGCGATGACTCGGTATTGCCGTTAATCTCCTTATTGAAAGCCTCCAGCTTTGACTGGTTTTCCTCGTCCATATCGCCGAACAACACAAAGTCAACGCTGATATTGTTTTTCTTCATCTTCTTGGAGAGCTGGGTAAGCTCCTTCTCGGACTCTTGAATGGGAGAGCAGACGAAGACGATGATGCGCGCCTTCTGCGACTTGTTCTGACGGTGCTTGAGCGCAAGCTGTTCGAAGAGTCAGCTTCAAGCTTCGCATGTAAAGGAGCAGCGCGCCTCTAACTCACGCTCGCTATTTGGATACCAGTCGAGAGGTGGGCATGGCCACGGATCTTCTTCCTAGTCTGATGCAGGCCCTCCAGGATCTTGCCCTGATCCGTTGTGAGCGTTGCGAGCACCTCTGGGTCCTTGCCGCCCATGCTCATCAAGCCGACCGACGATTCCGGGTTACCGTTGACGACATGTTGGAAGATAATATTCACCGCATCACTCTGAGCATCAAACCGAGTGGGAGCATAATCGCCGTTCCTGCTCGGCTCGCTGTTGTCGACAACAATCATAACCGCCTCGAGCGGCATCTTGGCGACGTTGTACGGGTATTAATTGAACTAGGAGGTGCAGGAAAGAGACAGGATTGATGGATATGGGTTCCTTAACGCTCGGTTCGACTGTCGCACGGGAAATCGGCGGTTTTTTTTTGGTCGGTTTATTAAGGTTGGACGGCGACGAATTGTTGGAAGTGACGTCGAGAGGCGACGTGGGTTGCTTTTGGACCTGGAACCTAACAGTAGCCAGCCTGCGTAAGGCGTTCAGCCTGGAGCTGCTGGATGCAATAGACCCACCTGAGTTGCTGTGGAGCCAATCACCTGCTGGAACTACAACCCTGGCAACACTCCAAGATGGAGGGGCCCCTACCCTGGCTTGGCCTTTGTTTACTTTCTGAAACGCGGACCACTCACATCACAGAGCGCGCTCCCCGTTTCCCACAATCCTCTTCTCGACTTTGCAATCTCTCCGCCCCTCGCGAATGTCGACCTCACTAATCCCACGCGCAAAGTCCATATCACCGCGGAAAAATTACATTTTGCACCGAGATCATCGCCATTAGCATCATTCCGAGACACGCGCCGCGCGATGGCTGTCCTCGGCGTCACGAAACGCAAGTCAGACCAAATCAGCACGACTTCCGACGAGGAGCAGCAACTAGCTCTCAGCGCAATGAGTACTCAACTAGCTCCACGAAACGGCGAGGGCTCCCAGCGTTACAGAAGCCCCATCAAGAAGAGACGGATTGGTATCACGGCCGCGCAGAAGCAAGCCCTAATTGAGAACCTTCAGCTTGAGAGTATGTCGCGCACTGTTCCCATGCCCGCGAAGGTGCGGCGTCGCAATGCTGACAGGATTTGCAGTCACAGAGCGTGCTCGTCGGTTACGCTCCAACTATAACCTTCATGCTCAGAGCCTGCGGACGCGGATCGAAATGCGCGTCAATCGCATCCCCATGGCGCTGCGCAAGCTCACCATGGGCGAGCTGATGGAAAGATATGAACACCAGAAGCTGAGCGCGTCAACCGGTGGCATCATGAAGAGTCTGAAGGACTCTACCACATCACGGCCGGTCTTGTCGCGGTCAATGACTGCTGCTGTTCCATCGGTTGCGCCAGCCAAGAGGAAAAGGTTTGTCGAGCGCTCCTAGGGATTTTTGAGCAAGCTGCTAACCTTGAGGACCTAGTGACGAAATCTCCAAAGACAAAGAAAATGAGCTCGTTGAGCAGGCCGATCCCTCTTCTAAGAGACACCGTGGTAACACCGTCTCGGGAATCTCGCGGCCAGCAACGTCCCATGCGCTGTCGCTTACCACCTCAAACAAGACTCTCACCCGTTCTGTGATCGGGTCTCCCACCAAAGCGACTGCTTCTCGTCCTGCCATGACCCCTGGACGGCCCACGCTTGCCCAGAGCGTCATCGAAAAGTCATCCAAGGCCCCTCGTCCGACTCCTCTGTCCCCACGCAAGACGGCCAACCCAAGCGTCCCGCCCAGCTCCTCAACAGCGGGCTCTACCTCAGTCAAACGGCAACGCGGGGCGACCGTTACGGCAGCCGTTGCCTCTTCCAACCCGCCATCTTCAGCACAGCGCCCAATATCCCGAGCCGCAGCGGCGCCCTCGCGAACGGCGCAGCGTCGTGTTAGTGGCACGAGCGAGTCCAGTGAGAACAGCACGTCGACGGTGATCCGGCGTAGGCCGATCTCCGCTCCGCCTGGTTCGCAGCCGAAGCTGATTTCGACAAATGCAGCTGCCTCAATTGCTCCTGCCACTTCGTCTCAAAAGGAGTCCACGGCTGGCAAGACGAGGACCGCCGTTGTTGCCGCAGTGAAAAGGGGAAATGCTGGCGTTACTACGACGCCATCGACCACGCCGGCCACGACGACAGCGGCGAAGAAGCCAGCTGGGGCTAAGTTGGTCGGAACGAGCAGTAGTAACCCCGGAGGTTCTTCAGCGGCGGGGAGGGTGTTGAGAAAGAGGGCTTAGAGGGCTTAAGCTTCCTCCTTTCCCCCTGCTTGGTGGGGCTGTTGTCGGACTCATTGCTTTATATAGAAGGATTCTTCTCATACGGGCCTGTACATAGGATTGGTTTCTTGCCTGTGTTGTTGCTGTGTTTGGTTTTGCCGGGCTATTTGGCGTTCACGGGTATGCATAACACTTCGGAATACAAGGTACTGCTGCAGTTCTGGGGAGTTGCGGGAAAGGATCATGGGATGGGGCATCCTAGGAATGGGCCAGCGGTTGTGGTATAAGTCATTGTATCTTTTAGTGTTCAACCAATGAGACAAAAACTGTCAAGAGAATCTTTGTACACCTCCTTCTCCACATCTCCCTCATTTCCTATTCCACCGAACCCTTCACCCTTTCTTTTTCTTATCCTCCACAATCTCGATATGGTCTTCGGGCACCTCCTTGCCGCCATACTTTTCCTTCAAGAACTCCAGCAGTTCCTCGCATACATCACCCTGGACAACAATCTCCTCACCGCCGCCAGGATTCTTGGTGACACTAGAACCCGTGGCGAACTTCTTGCCCAGTTCCTTGGCCACCTTCTTCAGGTCCAGTCCGAACGCCTCCAGCCCAGCCACAGACGTAACAAACTTGCGCTTGTTGCGCTCGACCCGCTTGATGTGAACCATGCTCTTGGCCCGCTGAGCAGCCACCTTCTGTTCCTTAGCCTCGGCCTTCGCGGCCTTCTTTGCTGCATCCTTTGCCGCGCGCTCCTGGAGCTCGAGCGAAAGGGACGCAGTGGCAGCCTCAAGAGCTTCTGTGGGTTCATTAGCATTGCATGGGGGGAAGTAATGCCAGATGAAGGATCAGGGACCGTACCAGGCGACCATATTCTTTGGTAGAGTTCTGGGTGATTCTTCTCGAGCCACTCCTGGCATTTCTTTATGGTGCCGCCATATTCACAGTACTGGGGGAGCCCTGGTCAGAGTAAGGACTGATTGGATAGGTCAAGCAGAAATTGACGGTAGGTACCTCGGGCGGGAGACTGCACACTGGACAAGACATTCATGGGTTAGACATCATCATGACACTGAAGAGTATCTGGCAGACAACCGACGAGGTGATGTCGTGATGAACGACTTACCCCCGCAGTAGATCACCTCGCGGCCGACTTGGACCGGCTCGGCCATGCCTAGGCAGAAGATCGATTGGAGTCTGTGAGATGACTCTGAGATCTAAGGTGCAGACGCGGTAGTATTAGGCGCGTGCTGGCGTCGTTCGTGTCCCGATGCGGTTTTGAATCAACGACCGTGGCGCGCCGAGCTCGAACTTCTCAAGGTTCTCATTCCCAGTCGCCCCTCCCTCGAATTGACTGCGGGGTTGGCCAGATGGCGGGGCAGCTCTGGGCAGCTGGCTACGCCAGAACCCTGGAGCGGATTAGGAAGGCGGGAAAGGTTGGCAGAACCTTGACCAATCAGGCAATTCTGCTTCCAATGGTCTCGGCGGCAAGGTCAGGCCGTAGGCCGACCGCGGCGCTTCCATCCTTCCCATCGTCCCATATTCGATCTTGTAATCCCATGCTTTTCCTGAGCCCAAGATGGCAGAAGCCTGAGGAGTTTCGTTCCATATCATCACCATCCGCGACACGCTATGGCCCTGGGTTGAGCCGTCACATGTGCTCTTCCCCCCTTTTCATCTGTACCTGCGCCAGGCCGACCGACTTGCGAGGGAGATGTGGACTCTATCTGAGGCGCCTCGACTTACATGGCCTGCTTTGCGCCCTCGAGGGTTCACTATTGAAGTTCAATATTGGACCTTAATGGCTTACGTCGATGCAGCAGCAATTGAGTTTCCGATGCTGTCGAGATGTTGAGATATGCTCAAAAATACCCATGCATCATGGAACATCAAAGTTGGGATACAGCATCCCGCCATGGTGATTGTTTCGGTCATCCCCAAATGCTGCAGGTAGGAAAACTTGGTCACATCAAATTTGGGACGAACATCCAGCCTCTTCAAGATGCTCACGCTGCGTTAACACACCAAACGGTGGCCGCAAAAAAAAAAAAAGACGGGGCATCATCACCGTCGTCGTCAGCACCTTAACTTCTTCCACGGAACGATGAAGCCTTTGATCCGGCCTGACTGCAGGAACAGATCGCGTCGTGCATCGGACACGGGATAAAATGCGCTGATTACTCTCCCAGGGAAATTTCTTTCCAGAGCTCCAAGCAAGCTTCCATTCTTGGCCCTCGGCCCGATCCTGCTGCGACTGCGAGTACAGCCAGAGCATTCCCAGCCCAAGATAGCCACGATATCATGGACTGGGTTGCAGTTGTCGAAGCATAGAGTTTACCCAAGCTTGGTAGATTTCTGTCAGGCGAGTGTGGTGAAGTGTGGCTGATATCAACAACTACCCCAGCTGTTGCGTCTGTTGTCTCCGCCAATCGACGTCGACGGCTGTGCTATTTTTAAGCGCCCGCTGCCACTGTTCACCTTGCGTGCAACCATCCCATTGGCTCACGGCTTTTTGCAGCGGGAGGGTGTCGTGACGTCTTCATTGGCGCGCGCCTCGCCGTTGCATGCCCTCAACGTCTTTCTGCTGCCGACGGCTTGGTCACTTTCTCGCTGATTTGCTGCTGGACTCAATGTCAATTCGATGGTGTTGCCCAAATCTATGCTAGCGTACTCTTGTCATTGAGCTACTGCAGCTACTGCATGCGTTCCAAGGAAATGCCCGTCGGTTCTGCGACCACATGCCCGCCAGCAATGAGTCGAGAAGCAGCCAGCCGACACCATATGGCTGCTATCTACTCCAATTCAAGGACAAACCAGTCACACCAGTGTCTGGCAGACCGAGAAAAGCATGGCGGGATCGCAACGGGATCCACGCGCCCGCTGTTGCTTAACCGCCCTTGTGGATGTGGCCGCGAGATCTATGACTCTCGGGTTGTCATTCGCCGTCGTGCCCTGTTCTGTTATATTCGACACCTAGCCACTTGAGTGTGTCCAATGCCTTTCCGCTTCTTGGTTTTTTTAAATCTTCCATCAGTCGGTGACTGCGTACGCTTACCAGCATTTCGCTTTGTCGAGCGAAAGCTGGTTCTGTCCTTCGCTTCCCCCCCCCCTTCCCGTTTTTTTTTTTCCGTCTCTTAATTATTGTTGCATTCTTGGGTGCAGGTCGCCCGACTTGCTTACCTTACATCATCTATTTCTGTTGTCGTGCCTTTATTGATACCATTTTCGTTTCTTATCGACTTATCAATCCTACTGCAATACACCATCATGTCGGATACTCTGTATCTTCCCCGAACTACCTACCGGCAGCCGTCGCCGCTGGGTCGAAGACGGTTGGGCCGGCCTCTTAATCCTATAATCGAAGAGCCCGAGCAAATAACCCCCAATGACGCGTCGTTTGAAGAGAAGAGAGTCAATATCAACGTGGGCAGACCACAAACAGGCCGCCACGTGCTCGATCGTGACCAGTTGATTTCTCCCATGAGCGATCACTTCCCGACCCCACGGGGCCAACACTTCCTGCCTGCCCCCATCCTGCCCGCGACCCCATCTTGCGTGTCGAGCGAAGCCGAACCCGATCTTGACCACGACGACACCAGCTCCGAGGCCTCGTCGTCGAACCCGTCCATCTCCTTTCGCTGGGCGCAGCAGCGGACTCGCTCTTCGAACCGCGATAGCATTATGACCGACGTCACCGAGTTTGATGACCTAGAGGAGTTTTCTGAAGAGGACGAGATTCAGCGCAAGGAACGCCTTCAGACGAACGGTGTTGTCCGCCGTAGGAGCAGCACGCGGAGTGCTAGGAGAGCTTCGAGGGCTTCTGTGGACCTCAGGAAGTCACTGCTGGCTCCCCTGGTCATCCCCGAACAAACACAGTCGCAACAGCAGCAGACGACTATGACCCCTTCTAAGAAGCTGACGTCCCCGATTCCCCCAACTCCTCCCTCGGCAGTCACTATGTCCCCGCTCATGAAAACCATCATGGAGATGCGCCAGGCCCAGGAAATCCCACGTGCTTCGGCTCCCCCGTCCCTGGACGGCAGCATCAACTCGGAGGAGTTGGCCCAGATGTCTGCTCCCCCAACTCCGATGATCGGGTCCCAGGTTGGCGACGATGAGGATTGGACTGGCGTGCGCCTGCAGCCCGACGCTCTCGAAACTCTGCAGGCGCTCACCAGCCACGAGTCCGACTTTGAGGAAGAAGCCTCCCAGGAGGAGCCCGTTATTGAGGTGCCTGTGCAACAGGAAATGACCACGCGCCAGAGGCTGCCGCCCCTTTTCACGAACACTGGCCTCAGCAGGCATCCCTCTTTCCGGTCGTCCCTTGCTGGCCTGACCAGGCTTGAAATTCCCTCCCCTGGCGGTTTCTTCGCGGAGCTCTCTTCGGCTAGTCGCCGGACCTGGGCCCCTGAGAGGGCGGACGATCTGCAGCACCCTCCGACCTCGACCACTGCCGAGAATTTTTACAAGATCCCATGGAACCGGATGTCAGAACCCGTTCCTCAGCCGCCAGCCCGCTCGCTACACTTTGATGGTCCCTCGGAGGTTGTTGAACACGTCATTGAAGTTCCGGTCAATGAGAACGAGGATGACCTTCCGACTGCCATACGCATCGAAGAGACCCCTGTTCCCCTTACCGCTCGCAAAGTACCTGCTACTCCGCAGGACCCAGAGGAGCCTGTGGCCGAGCCTATCCCTGAAGAGCCTGCTTCCCCGAATGAAGTTAACGAGATCATCACTGCTGGCTTCAGAGCAAAGCAGCAGGAGCCCGAGATGTCTCACATGGACCGCACGGCCATGTGGCTTGCTGCCCAGCGGGCCTACTTTCAAGGTGTCATGAGCTTCTCGGAGGACGCTCAGGAGGAAGAACAGCCGGAGCCTGAACCGCAGGTGAAAGCTGAGGTGGAGGTTAAGCCAGAGTTCCCTCCGAAGGATGATGCTCCTGCTGAGTCAGGGCCGTCCGAACCCAAGAAGAAGGAGGTACGCTTCTCTGACGTGGTGATCAAGGCCGATATTCCCCGCAGACTGCCCTCGAAGCTGCAGCGTCAGGAGTCGGCCTACTACCGTGCCTTCACCGACGCCTTGATTCGGGCTTGCCCAACCGATGTCTTCGTCTGCCGTCAGACTCGCTTCGAGGCTCTACAGGCCCAGCGCGTCTCCTTGAAGGCGCAGCACCGGAATCAGCTGCTAGGCAAGTTCCAGCTGTCTGTTGTTCCGGAGTCGGCCAAGAAGCGCATGAGTGCCAATGTCGTCCGCGGCGATGATGAGCTAATCGAGGACCCGGAGAAGCTCCGTGCCGATAAGGAGGCTGAGGCGTTGTCGCAAATGAGGATGGGCCTCTGGCAGGTCGCCGCCATCAAGGCTCTCAACGGCGGTCGTCTGATCTCGGCGCCTGTGGCCAAGCGCCTGGCGCGCCAGAGCTGCATGGCTCCCGGACCGGACGGCCTTGTCCGCGATCGCGCCCGCATCCTTGACCTCGCCGGCCAGGGCACTTGCGACTGGGCTTGGCATGTGGCCTTGCAGTATCCCAATACCAAGATCTACACCGTCACCACCAAGGCCATCCGCCAACTCAGCAACAGCAACATCCGTGGCCCGTCTAATCACCGACAGGTCGCCGTCAAGTCTCTGGCAAAGCTCCCCTTCGCCGACAACCAGTTCGATCTGATCTCGGCGCGTGAGCTGCACGCCGTGCTCAAGCTGTTCGGCGAGAACGGCATCGACGAGTGGGACGCCTGCCTGCGTGAGTGCATGCGCGTTCTCAAGCCCGGCGGCTACCTCGAGTTCAGCCTTCTCGATGCCGACATTGTCAACGCCGGCCCACTTGGCAATGCCAAAGCCGTCGAGTTTGGCTTCACCCTCCAAACTCTTGGCTACGACCCGACCCCAACACGCTCTTTCCTCGCCCGTCTACAGGCCCTCGGCTTCGACGACGTGCGCCGTGCCTGGATCTGCCTGCCCCTCGGCCCCAAGAACCCCCCTCGTTCCGTCATCACCACAACTCCTAACCCTGATGCTTCTGGTGCCGACCCTCGTGCCTCCACAGCCACGCAGCCCAAGACGCACATACTGGAGGCCATCGTCTCCGGCTCGGTCGACAACGTTGCCGCCATCAGCGGTCTCGCTGCCGGCTGGAGCTGGGAGCGCTGGCTGCTGCGCACCGAGATGGAGAAGGCAGCCGGCGAGCTGCGTCTGTGCGACACTGTGACGCCCGGCAAGGCGATGCACGAGGCAGGCAAGATGATTGCTGACGTGCACGCCGTCGTCGAAGAGGGCCGCCAGCTGCGCTCGTGCTGGCGCGTGCTGAAGGGGTATGCGCGCAAGCCGCGCGGCTGGACGCCACCTGCCAGCGCCGCGCCCTCGGTCCGCTCGTCCATGGTCGTCCCTGAGGCGTTCCCCATGCCGCCGGCTATCCCGGTCAAGGCTGTCTCGCCGCCGCCCAGCGTTCCAGTGCCGCCTGTGCCGACGCAAAAGAAGGCTGTTGCAGTGACGAAGCAACCTGAGATGATGGCTGTGGACAGCGTGCCGATGGTGTTTGATCTGGAGCGTAGTGGGTCGATTCGCATTTGCTTGGACACTGCGTCGCTTCTTGCTTGATCAAGAGGAGGTAGAAGTGGATGATGTAATAATTATTGTACTGTCTGTCCTGACATGACTGGTTTCCTTTTATCTTATTCTATGGTGGGCGGTTGATAGTTCATAGATGCTGGATACATCTTTTGTTTTTTTTGTCTGGTTTCTGTCTCTTATCGTTCACAATCATGCTGCAGGGTTATCATGATCATCATCAATAACATTGGATCACTGGATGATATTTTGTACTGGAGCACCTTTGCCGCCTTGAAGGTTGGCATGGGGAAGTAGTAATGGGTATATACAATGAAATGAAAAGTATATACTTTTTTTAAAAAAGATGTGATACCTTCGTTCCTTCTCTCCGGCGCAGATGCATGTGAAGATCATACATTGGATCTTGGGGCATGATTGGTGATGAAACCTACCTTCTTCTCTATGCACGTCTCGACTTTGAGGTATAGGTATCCTCAGTTGCCAAGGAAAGAGGTTACATCCAACATTTGCCCTACTGTGGTGATCGTCACAGATGCTTCGGCTGAGGGTGTGCCTAGCCCCTTGCCCGGGTATGGTAGCCGAACCCTCAGGTTGCTTGGTTTTGTTCCGTGCCCCCCTGAGTTTCATCAGGCGGCTAGGCACTTTTAGCTGTGACGTCAGTCAAGGAGATAGGGCGGAATAATATCGTCAACGCCTAGCCGACACGGGTAAAGATGTTCAAGACGGAAACATTTAGGCCGCTTCGGGAGTATTTTGGAAAAGCTGTTCATAACAGCGGCGTTAATAGATGTGATTCGAGAAAAAGCAGATATCTTCATGAGTCCTTCTTGCACAGGTCCTCTCAAACATGAAAAGCGAGGCTCAAACCAATAAAGCCAATCCTGATCCAGTCCACGGATGCCCGTTCCCACAACCAATCCGACCGCCCCAAAACCTCCTTCTTGACACCAAACCTGCGCCCACACCATCACTAATACATGTAGGTACATCATGGTCGTCACAAATCATTCCCAACCAGCCCGAATCTCACCCACTAGGCCGTTGTCGTGTTCCGTCAGATGGCAAGGGTAGTGCATCTGCACTACCCCTCCCTGCCCATGGTTCTCTCTCTTTACTGAATGGTGCCCTTCCGCAGCTCCTCCGTATCCGGCACCACATCCTCAATGGATGGCCTCCTGCGACGCTTAACGGGCTCCTGGCTGTCCACAGCAGTAGCCTTAGCCTCCGGAAGCGGCCCCTTCTTTCCAGGCTTGGGCGGCTCGAAGCGCTTCTTGACGGCGTGGATCATCTTGTAGAACCAATACCAGTTGAGACTGTTGAGCGTTAGGTTGCTAGCAACGTAGATTCCGGCCAACCAGATGGGGACGGGCCCCGCGCCGCGGGCGAAGTACATCAGGTTGACGTCCGGGTCATTGGCGGTAGCCGGGTTGGAGAAGGCGGCTTTGATGTACTCGGCCGAGGGGCCCTCGTGGATGGCACGCCACATGTCGCCGTACACAATAACAGACTGCCAGGTGCCCCAGACCAGGCGGCAGCAGAAGAAGGTAACCAGCAGGAGAATGCCGTTGTACAGTTGTGGCTTAGAGCCGGTCATATTAAGCTTGTCGAAGAACCAATGAATGTTGAGGAAGGGTGTCGACAGCTCGTAGAGGATGAAGATGGAAGAGTAGTAGTTCAGGTAGGGCCTCTAAAGATGGGGGGTTAGTAGTGGGTTACTGTTGGGACAAGGGGCAGGCAAACACACAAAGCCGAAGGAGTAGACGGCCAGGGCGCTGATGGCGTGAGCGAGCAGGCCCACTCCAAAGATGTCGAGGTTTAGCAGAGTGATGCCCAGGTCCCAGATGAAGTATCCGCAGGCCAGGGCCTGAATCATGCCGGAAGCGCCAGTGTAGCCCCAGACTCGCTGCTCGAAGTCCATGTTCTTGCGTTCCTCGTCGGCAAACATGGTCCAGAGAGCCAGCGCGTTGATCAGAACGCTCTGGACCAGCGACACGACGTGGGCATCCCAGTTGGCCTTCTTCGCGCGGTTATGCTTCGGGTAGTACTTGGAGAAGAAGAGGTTGGACACGACGGGCGAGATGACGGAGTGAGTAAGCGTGTAGAAGAGGGCAGCACCGAGCACCTCGTGGACGTGCAGCGGCAGCGTCGGGAAGGCGAGCAGGTCGGCCAGCGGCTCGACCGCCTTGCTCAGCGCCGGGATGGGCGCAAATGGGAACGGGTCGCGCATGTTGGCGTCGGCGTGGGGCGACCGCGACCTGAGCTGAGCTGGGCGATGGTTGGGATGGAGGAAAAGGGCAGATCGGTGTTGACTGTGCCAGTTGGAGCTCTGCGCTGTCTTTTCAAAGTGAATGTGACGGCACGCCAAGGCGGTCAGCAGGCACCCGGACTCGCCCACGGACCCCTGAAGCATCCACTGATTCCAGGCCACAGCCCTACACCACAGGTCGGCGACTTAACGACGGTGTAGGTACGTATGGATACCGTACTGGTGGGAGAGCTGAGCTAGAGAATGGTCCGACTCCAGGCAATCCTCGACGGATGACAATGGGCACACGGACAAGCCAGCTCCTAACAAGAAGCTTCGAATTACCTATCTAGCTGCAGCACCGGCGACAATGTGCTATGCCATGTGCAACATCGTCATTCGTTCCCCATTGGTGTCACGCCGTGAGGCTGCTTCCCGCGTCCCCTCATCCGCTTTGGGAAACTTTCAGAGGTTACAATTGGCTTACGTCCGCCAAGCCCTATTTTTGTTGGGGAAGATCGAACATGTCTTGGCAATGCCAAGGCTGGCCAGGTGCGACTCTGGCCGCGTGGGAGCACGACTTCGCACTGTGCCGGCGAAGGGTCAGCTGGGGCCCTCAGTCTGAGGGCGCTTGATCACATGCAAGCATTGACTCGGATCACCAGGAACACCTTCTCATTCCATCACAAATATTCCCAACATTTCAAAGGTCAGGCTGCCAGTCAGACCACAACTCCATCTTGTTGATTACAACGGAGCTATATTTCCATACTTGTCTACCTACAATGCCTACCTACCTACCTACCTGGTAGGTAGGTCAATAATCCTCTGACCATCTTTTCAAACAACTGTCATGGAGTAGTGATCTGTAATGCATGGGTGTGCCTGCAATTTTTCTCTTATGTGGTCATCTGTTCAACGCTTTTGTTTGATGTTTCCCATGTCACGTGCGGTGAAGGGAGAACCGGCAATGAGAGAACACAAATCTCACCACAGTAACTGCCATCGCTTCTATCACTGCCATTTTCTATCGTTTGTTCCAGCTTTACTCGATGGGCATTGATTCGTTTGGGACTCCCAGCCTTCAAGGCATTCTCTGTCCCATCACACGGCGTTTCCTCTGACTTTTGGGAGACGACATCGGACTTCTGTACCTTTGCCGCGATCAACATCGAAAAGGTTGCCATCGCCAACAGAAGCACAGCAAAAGCGCTGCCGAAACAATCGAGGGATACAGCGGGCATCGGTATGGCCGCTCCCTTTGCACATATCCTTTAAAATTTTCGTTCTCCTTCCTGCTGTTTCTGAAGCGGTGTTTCTTAGCCCCTCCGTTGTTGACCTGGGTAACAATTTTAGTATCTCTTGTTCCAGCGTCCTCTGACTCGGGCTCCTTCGAGCTTTCTTCCGAACTTTGAGCTCTGCCCGGTTCATGCAGGGCCGGGCTGGCGGAAATCCAGATGCTCGGCTCTTAGTCAGGGTTGTCCTCAATCTCCGCGGGCCCTTACTGTTGACCGTGGTGAGCCTTGAAACAGGAGTTGGTTGACAGCCTTGACAAAGTCTTCTGCTGTCGTTATGAGGCATGGCCCCCCAAACTCTCCATACCCCTGGGTTGAACCGGCGGGGGCAATAATTTCCTCGGCTGTTCTAAGGGATGCTGCTGTCCAAAACTCGACTGCTTGCAGAGGAAGGACTGGAGCATCGAACCCGCTTCTGAAGAAGTGGTGCCGAGGGTCGGTGCAAGACACCGGCCCTCGGCACCGTTATCCGCAGGAACAGCCTTTGGCATAGTCTTCGGGCGTCAGAAGTACTCATGAGGTCGTCGGTCAGATGGCCTACTCGCTCGGGGACTACCGCTTCTATACTTTTTCTATAAAGCTCTTGATTGTTCAGTCCATCAATTCTGGAGGCTTGATGGATGATCTTCTTTTCTTCCAAGAAAGCCTTCAGGCGGACATGGAGGGCTATGTTGCCACACTCCTTCCCAAGTGTCTGGTTTTATCTGGCAAACACGAGCTTGGTCAACACTCGAATTTTGCTCAGCCAAATTACCTGGGCATCAATGATTCCCGATCCTTCCAGCTGGCCGAAGTCCTGGTTGCCCTTTGCATGGCGAACGATTTAAATGTACATGGAGTTTCGCTCCGCTGACATCATTACCGACTCCAGGATAGAGAATGCCTTCTGAACGGTTATTGACAACAGTCTCTGGCCAAACCTCCCTCCTTACATAATTGACTTCTTTCAGAAGGAAGCAGGTTTGTCGTATGTCAATAATCATACGACTAACTCTTTATCCCAACGGCAGCCCCTGTCAAGGAGTCAAAGAAGATCCAAGTCAAGGGCTCGGTAGCGTGCCCCTTCATCTATACCTGGAAGACTTGTCCGGTGGCGATCCCCTACGCCGGTTCGAGATCAGAGATGGACTTCCAGACCTCCCTCAAGAGCTCGGACTGTTTCCCCAAGTCGCACAGAGCACAGTCCATTAGGAGGAGGCTTTCCCGAGATAATATCTCGGGCAGAGTATGTTTAGACTCATCTGATGACTCTATTTAGCATAGCATCAGGACACGGATAAACCACGAGTGCCAAGCCTGGCGCTACAGGTGTAGCAGCGAATCCAGGGCTGATGTTGGAGAAGTTGGATTTCACGGCTTGGAAAGGGATCGAGATCGCTCGATCTTTGTGAAAACTCGTTTCCGTGCTCCACAACGTCCTTGACGTTCCGTAATCCAGCCGCCTCCTCCACCTCCTCCACCGCTAGGCAATCCATATGGAAGTCTAGTAGTCAAAGAGAACAAATCCCAGAAAGCTACCGATGCAGCGCCCAAGTCGCCGAAATCAGTCCATCCAGACTACGACCTGACCAAAGCAACCATAAGCATGCCGCTGTCGCCGGTCACTACTCACGATACTGGTTACTCTGTCCACAACGAAGCTGAATGAAACAACCCCAATGAGTTTGTGAAAAGACCATCAAGATATCACCTACCGTCGAGACAGCAGACTCAAGCGACAACAACAACAGCAGACACTCTCCCGTTTCTAACTACACCGAAACGTATCTGGACCCTATTGCCGTCTAAAAGACTGTAATTTACAAAAAAAAATCAAGGACTAGGACGGGCATGTGAAAGTACCATACGTAGGCAGTTCTAAAGCAGTACAGGTCGATCAGGGGAAAGGTAAAGAAAAACAACAGCTTCGGAGACCGGCCGTTGCCCAGACAACGATGGAGAGGGCGTCAACATCAACATCCGCCAAAACAAAACCCAATCTGAATGCGGGTGCTGAATCAGGGGAGGATTCACCTGAGGATCTGAGAAACTTGAGAGAGGAGAAGCTGGAAAGGGAGATGAAACACCAAGAAATAATCGATTCCAAGCTGAAGAATTATGAGGAGGGGATTAGGATTATAGGGCATAGCCAAATACCTCAAATATTGAAATTCTTCACCTTGAATATCTACAACTGAGCATGGTACTCAAAGACCTTTTTCCGCACTGAACACACTTGCGCTTTTGGCTATGAGTTGGTTACAGAATTGCAATGGCCTAAAAAAGGATGGGAAAGTTAAGGCTGACTTCTTCTGTCCTCCACAACAGCCAGCCTATGGCAGGGTCTGGCCTACAGCAAGCTTGGTGTCATTTCGCTAACTGAAAGTCTGTCTACCCTGTGGACAGTTCAACTTACACTCCACAGAAAGCTGTCGAAGAGAGAACAGCAACTCTCTCTTAGAAAAGAGCATTTCATGCTGATTCAGCTTTTCGCACCACTTCCCTAAGCCTATCCAAAATTCCTATCAACACACAAGACTTGCACAATCATCATCTATTCCTCTGGTAAACTGTTTAATTCCCAGTGTGTTCTACTCTGCTTTGCTCTGCTTTGTCTTGTATTCCATGTCCACTTCTCATGCACTCCTCCTAATCACTTTTTGTCTCGGCCCGTCTGTCTCAAGCTCATCAAACCATCACCCTATCTCCAGCAGCCAGGAGATATGGAAAGGATGACGAGAATTCAGGCAAGCGAGAAGATAAAGAGTGCAGTCTGCTCAATCAACTCGGTAACCCTCCAGAGCCCAATAATTTCCCAGTCCCAGACCAAAACCTAATTAACAATCCCATTCCCCATTCCCAGTGTTTCCGAGTGTAGAGCGCGTATTGTGCGTGAATCTCCGCATGCATGCATGAACCATGTATGTATCTCTTTCCGTATGTATAGCGTAACAAAAGATAAGAAAATTTGAAAAAAAAGAAAAAAAACAAACTGCACGTCATGCTGATAATAGAAGGAGGAAGGGAAACGAGAAAGGGAAAGAAGAGGAGACAAAGAACGACGAGTAAGAATGGGCTTGATGTAAAGAGGGTTTAAGCTCTGCTTGCTATGACTCTCTGCCTTTGCCCAGGCAAGCACTCGGAGATAACAACATCCGAGCGCTTTTGCTTTGCCCAGGCGTGCATACACCTGAAATATGTTTCGCATCATCACCCCATCCATGTAGGATGGTAGCATGACCTTTTGTGCATGCTCCTAAACTTCAGAGACTGTCAAGCGTCCCAAAGGCCTTCCAGTTCATGAGCAGGTCCCACCCGAGGCCATTGTAAACATGCTGTGCTGGAAATCAAATCCGCCAAATCCCATCGATGAAAATGGCTATCGTGTATCTTTGGACGTGATCCAGGTCACCCAACTTTCAGCTAGCGAGAGTGAAAGTTGAACATCATAAAAGTCTCAAACCAAACTCGAATTCTTCGTAAAGTTGATTCCCTTGGCCACGCCATATGACGAATCAAGTTAGCAGGACCATGACAGGCAGGGCCAAATCACTGAACGGTGTTGGTCCGTTAGTGATTCCTGGCGCCCATCGCAGCCGCACTCTCTTGAGACTCCCAGCTGTCTACCTCCATCTCATCTGTTGAGGATGAAGCCGACGATCCATCACGGCGTCCACCAGCAACATTTCTATCGGGACCGCTAGTTACTCCGGTAGGGATCGTAGAAGGGTGAGGCTGAGTAATCGGCGGCATTGAGGGAGTTCCATTCCACGCGACAAAAGAATTCGGGTTAAGTGGTGGCATATAGGAAGGTCCATGAGTATAAGGGGGATCGCGGAGAGCTGACCAGTGGATGTCTTGTTGGTACTCGTAGCTCATGGCAGCAACTGGTCTCGTGGGGCTGTTAATAGTCGCAGGTGTGGGGGCTGCGCCGTTACCAGACGTAGTCGGAGACATCAAATTTGTGGCCAAAGTAGTCGACGGGGGCTGAGGGCGCAGCTGTTGATAAGGGCCAAGCGAGTACTGCTGGTTATAGTAATTGAGCAGTATACTTGTGGGCTGCAATGCCACTCCGGTTAGCGTCTCGAGGCAAAGTGCTCCATGCTGCCAGACACTCAAACTTACACGTTCGCGAGGCGGGCTGTTCTGGGAGCCTGGGGTGCCCGTGGTGGCCGGGGGACGCGGAGTTCCGGTAGATGAAGCGGTAAGGGAAGAACGGTGAGTATGACGAGCACGAGTCCTCCTTCGGGATTCTGGTCCTTCGCTGGGATGAAGACGCCTCTCGCCTGTTTGAGAGGATCTGGGAGCAGCGTTGTCCTGTTGTCCCGAGCGCTGCTGCCCAGTGCTGTGCTCCTGAGAGTCTGCAGCATGGAGTTGGCTTGTCTCGGAACTGCTGGGTCTGGCATTAGTGCGGTCAGCTCTAAGACGAATGAAGCCAACAACAGACCTTGCATGGCGACGGCTCTCAGACTGTCGGGCCGTCTGCCGATGGCGTGAGATAGCACTCCGGAGGAGATCATGCACAGCCCGGTAGCTTTGTGGAATGGCAGGCTCCGAGGGCAACTTGTCACGGCAATACGGACAGCTGTCGGAATCCTCAAGCCACTTCTTGATGCAGTAGTCTCCAAAGATGTGCTTGCACTTGGGCAGGCGCAGCGGGGCCTCGATGTGGCCCTCGGGGGTCGGCTGCCCAAAATCATTGTAACAGATAACACAGGCTAATGTAGGAACCGAGGTTAGCCATCGAGTACGAAAGCAGATTGACTGAGGAAGACAAAAAGAAACGCTGACTCACTTCTCTCGCTCTCGGGCAGCGTCTCAAGAGGGACACTCTCTAGCATGGCCAAAGCTTTCCGGGATGCGACTCGCTTGTTAGACATTTGGCCACGGAGAATCTGAACGGTTCGCAGCTGGTCTTCTGGAAGACCGCGCCAATTGGGGAAGAGGGCATTTGGACCGCCGGCAATGTAGCGTAAGACAGCTTCATCCTCATCCATGAGCGAATCTCTCCCGTCATCATCGTCTTCTTCGTCATCGCTGTCGAAGTCGTCCCGTATGTGGGTTGGGGGGTGGGCAGCAAAGCGACGATTGCGATCAGAGACCGAAGAGGGGACTGGAATGGGAATGGGAGCAGAAGGCGCATTCTCCGAGCCGAATAGCGTGGGCATGGGACTCCGCGACGTGGCAAAAGTTCCTTCGGTTCGCTGAGAGCCCGAACTATTGTCTGGTTGCCGGTGGGGGGAGTCACGTCTGGGACTGGCCGGGCTCTCTAAAGTTTGGTACACAGAGGAGCGTCTTGGCCCTAGAGTATTGAGCGCTCGCGTGGTCTCCTCGACCGCAGAACGAATCATGTCTCGGAATGGAGGGGGCTGGCTCATATGTAGGCCATGATCCAGTCGGGAATGGCTTACTGTATGATATGGTTGGGCAGCTTGCGATGAGGTCGTAGCGGTATTATTGATGCTTGCAGCCCCAGCCGTATTGGAGTTGGGCGGATTCAAAGTCGAAATCGCTTCCAGGGAGGGCAGACTCAGGTCACGGGGAGGAGGAAGATGTCCTCCGCGCTGGAAGTTCATTGTTGTTTGCGTAGAGGGGGCCTGCTGGGCGGTCGGGGCAGTATTGCTAGGAGAAGGAGTGTCCGTCGGTCCTGACCGACCGATCCCCGGATGTGTCGATGGCGTTGGCAGAGGCTGGTTCGGCCGATGGTGCCAGGCGGTCTGCTGTTGCTGCTGCTGGCTTTGGTGTTGGTGGGGATGCGGGATTGATGGCGGCGGATTTGGAAATATGGCCGGCACAAGAGGCGGGAGTTGGCTGTGGTAACCTTGGTGGGAGTTGGGGACGTGGTTGGTGTTGCTGCTGTTGTTGTTATTGTTGTTATTGTTGTTGTTGGTGGTGGTGGTGGTGGTGGTGGTGGTGGTGGTGGTGGTGTGATGCGAGAATCCTGGGCTCTGGAGAGAAAAAGTCGGAGACCAGAACTCCTGGGCAGCAGGTGGGTTTAAAAGTGGTTGCACAGCAGCTGCGCCAGGGAGCGAAGGTCCGGCGCTGACGGCAGCAGTGCCCTCTTGGGATGAAGTACCACCTGTACTGACTGCCCCGCGCGAGTCCGAACCGAGTGTGCTTAAGGAACTACCCGCACGGTTCAAGCTACCCGCTTCGCCGTGGCTCACGCTGCTCCCAATTGTTGCTGCGGCTGCTGTTGACGTTATAGGTACACCTGGCGCAGTTGAGCCAGTTACTGGTGGCTGAGTCGAGAAGGTCGGGTCTGTTGCTGGGTCCGACACTGACACTGACGGTCTGTGATTCAGGCTCGGGGTCTGACCAGATCCAAATTGCCCTGGCTGTTGCGGGTACTGTGTGTACTGCGTGTACTGCGCTGGGAATTGCAAGCTCTGCAATCCCTGGGTTCCTTGGGGTCCCTGGGTGCTTTGCGTGCTTTGCGTGCTTTGTGTACCCGGCGTGCTCTGTGTGTGCTGTGCGTTGTGTTGATGCAGATGTGCATTCGCGGGCTCAGGCCACGGCGTTGCTGATCTCGCACCTGAGGTCCACGAGCTGATGCTGGCAAGGTGCACAGAATCGTATTGCGAAAGATGACCGGGCGGAGTGCTATTGTTTAATGGGTGAATAGGGCTGAATGGGCTAAACGAGGCCGAGGTATTACCGGTACTACCAGTGTTGAAGGAGAGAGATTGGGAGTGGTGATGGTAATGGTGTGCCTGGGAATGGAAGTGGGGGTGTGGGAGCGTGGGTGGTGTTGGCTGCGGGAGGGGAAGCAACTGCTGTGACTGTTGAAAGAAGCTCTGTGCCTGAGACTGCTGTTGTTGCTGGGGTTGGGGTTGGGGTTGGGGTTGCCCCTGAGAGCCTTGAGGTTGTTGCTGAAGTGGACGGTACGCCTGTTGCCGCTGTGGTTGATGTTGTTGATGTTGATGTTGTTGATGTTGATGTTGTTGTTGTTGTTGTTGCTGCTGCTGCTGCTGCTGTGGCGGCGGCGGCGGCGTGAAAAGACCCTGGCTGCTGTTTGCCGTGCTGGAACTCGACGCAGCCAGCGGCTGTGTTGTCGTCTGTATGGGATGACGTTGAGGTCCTGGTGACGAAAAGGGCGCGGGATGCGGTAACAGCTGTGGTAGCTGGTGCGAACTTGGGCGAAACGGCGAGAACGGACCTGGAGCTGATATTGGAGGAAGGCTCAAGTGCTGTTGTTGCTGATTTTGTGGCCCTAGGTGCCCCGGGTGCTGCTGTCCTCCTCGGAAGAAGGGGCAACCAGGCCCTGATGCAGAGCCAGGGGCAGGCTGCTGATGAAGCGGGGGAAATGCCAATGGCGCTGGGTTGTGATCGGGCTCGCGCAGCGAGTAGGGTTCTAGCGACTCGATTGCCGCCATGTTGGACAGTTTGATGCCGGAGATTCCTCGGTCTGATCTGTTGATCGCTTGTTAACCCTTGAAACTCGAAACTGAGCGTCTTGGTCTTCTTCAACGGCCAAAAGAGCCCAGGCTCTGGAACTCCTCAATATGCCAGTTCCTGTCACTTGGTCTTTCGTTATGTGCTCCTTGTTCTTCTCATTCAGAAGCGCACAGCAACAGATCGATAGTCTGTAAGCAGATGCAAACTTCGGCTGCTGCTAAGTTTCCTGCTCTCCTCCGATCACAGTCAAGACCTGGAATACTAAGGTAAACAATTAAGTCGGTCCCTGGCCTGATCGTTCAGGTTAAGAAATGCCAGAAAAACTGGCAAAGCAAAAATAGTGTGTGTGACTGATGAATGAGCTGGCAAGCAAGCGAGAGAGGGGCCAGCTAAAGAACTAAGAGATTTCGTCCCTTTGCTCCCTGCTCTGCTGCACCTGCTGGCCACTCTTGCTTCGCTCACACTCACATCCAACTTCAACAACTTCTTGTCGCTTCTACCCCCCTAGGCAATAACAAGACCTTGAACACAGGCCAGGCAGGTCGACCTGCACGTTGCTGCTGTCGGCTGCCGAGGAATTGCAAACCGCTTCGATCTGGAGCTCGAGACAATTTCGGTCGCAAGGTACTTCGATCCGAGGAGAAAAAAATGGCGAGAATAACAGCTTCGAGTGCCTCACCAGTAAACAGACCCCAGACAGTGATGGTACTTGTAACCTGGTCGAACACCCAAAATCAATGACCAGCCAGCAAATTCCACGATGAACTTAAAATCTTCAGCGCGGCCCGGTGACTAGAAACAGCAGGGAGTACCGGGGGTCGGGCAAGCCTGAAAGCTAATCTTGTCAGGCAGAATCCAAAGTTGCAGTGGAAAGAAACCGTGCGTGACCCTCCAGCCCAATGCTGAGCCTTTAAACGCCTGCCTGTCCTCCCTGCACTTATTGCCAACCTGCTCTGCCACCTGGCAACCAGTAAAGCAGCCAACCAATACCCGATAATATATCCAGAGAAACAGTTCCCTGAGCACAAATGTACAAAATTCCGACGCAAACCGCTGGCATCTGACTGTAAGAAACTTGGCCCTCGTACGATCGGTCGCCTTTTGTGCCCCTGTGCTGGCTTCAACCACCTGCTCCCACGTCTCTCGATTCGGCTGTTGCTGGTGGGGGAACGGCTTCGCGATAATGGCCGATAAGCTTGGGGCAGGCTATTGCTGTGTGTCGTGCTGTCGTGACGGTGGGGGAGGCCTGAGCTCGAGAGGGCGATTCGCCAAGGTATTTTAATGATGAGGAACAGTGATAGTGGTGATGAGGTGTCTGGGGTTGGGAAGCCGCACAAGCAGGCAACAGAAGGAAGACAAAGTGGGAGGAAAAGGACAAGCGGGCATAGCTTTTCGGAGCACGGGATGGCGTCGGTTTTGTATCATCACGGCTGAGCAAAGACGGGGACTGACTGGGACAGGGAACTGGAACCTGGGCCGGTCGGAGGACATGGGAAGAGGGGGGTAAGGACTGGGGTTACTTGGAGCGGAGTAGAAGCAGCAGCAAGGCGTGTCGCTCGTTCAAGTCAGGCACAGCGCCTCTCAAACCCACACCATGCCTGGGTCAGGTCACCGAGTCACAAAATGGAAACCCAAGGTCACCAACTTGCCCCCCTTGCCAATTCGTTTCCAATCGCAGCAAACGCGGCGCTATTACGCTTAAGTTACAGCTCCAAACCGACACTACGTATGGTGTACGGTAAGGTAGTATGCGGGTTGTAAAAAGTGAAAGCGGAAGGGGAACCTGGGGCTTTGAATGAGGGGCATGATTATGGACTGTAATCCTCAGAGCGGCGCTCGCATTCATGGCACAGACGGGGGGGTTGGTAGTTGCCCGCTGCACCTGCCAGCGTTACATATCAATCATATTGGCCAAGCTATGTTGATTTGCATGGCTTGAACAGACAGGTAGTTTTTGTGGAGACGGAAACGAAGAAACAACGAGAGAAACAAACGAGTGCGGTTTAACCTGTACCGTACCTGTCTTACTGTATAAGCGAAGCTCAGTAATCATATCCACAAGGGAGACGCCAATGTCCGTGCCATACCATGTGTGAATGGATGGGCTGCTACAGCGGCAAGGAAGAAAGGAAGAGTGTGTGCAAGTGTGTCAGTGTAAAAGACACATCTTGAGTAGCGTAGTGTCATGTGCAGTGGCCCGCTTAACTATGGACACTCCCCCTTGTGCGTTCGCTGCTGCACGGTGGTGCCGCGCAACAAGACACCATGTGCTCAAACATGAAAATTTTAGCAGCAAAGGGAGGGAAATGGCAAAAAGACTCCGTTGGCTCTGTGCATGTGGAAAGTATTGAAACGCCTGTCCTTCAGATTGTGTGGGTTTATTTAAACTGTCTGAAACCCAAGTAAGAGTTTAACCAGCATGTCTCTATCTGCTCAGCTTGGACATCTGGAACACTGACCTGGGAACATCTGCTATCGAAAAGTTTATCTCATTTTATTTGAGTAAATATCTGCATTTTCTTCTTGGTGGACACAGTCCTCTATGGCCACCTGAGCGGCCTGTCGCCTGGGTGGGGGAAGCTTTGCCTTCCGTATCAAAAATGGACAAAGCACTGGCAGGCTGGGGCCAAGATGCCTTTAGTCGACAGGCACCTCTGCCCAACAATCGTGGGGCATTTTTTCTGCGCCATCAGTTGGCCTCTGATGCCAACGCACCCGTGAGGCTTGCTCAATCCGGAGTGGCACATTTCTTTTCCATGGCTGGAGCGACTTACGGGCGGCGAATACCACTTCAAACTTGTGATAGTGAACCCTGTCTGTCTGACGGTCTGAAGTGACTTTTTAAATGAGCTGTGCAATCATTAAAAATTGCATTGCAACTCGGATAGGATCCAGTTGTAATCTTGTTGGCCTGATGCGAAAATGAAGGGCGACAGGCCAGTGCGGATTGCGATCCAAGCAAGTGGACAACTTCAAACTTTGCCATGAGTGTGGCCTCTTTACCTCGTCCTTTACCTCTACGGACTACTTGGCTGGAAGTCAACGGTGAAATGATGCGAGCAGCGGAGCCTTGATTTTCCGGTTAGACAGAGCTGCAGGGACAATGCTCACACAGATGTGCACATACTACAGTTCCATGCTTGCTACTGTCTAATTCAACCAAGCGCCGTATATAGGCAAGGAATGGAAGCCACAAGAGGACCGATGCATCCGAGGCTTCTGAACTGCCTGCATACAGCTTCTGGTTTCAAACATAGGCAACAGTTCTACCACGACCACATTTGTTAGTTGACTGGGCTGTTTTCGTACCAGATGCCCAGAGCGGCCAGTTTTGCAGTAGTCAGACCAAGCGATCTCATGGTACGTTCGAAACAAGACAGCAACCATGCATAGGGCGAAGCTACCGCGGTAACGAGAGAGCAAAATGGATGACGGGATCTCCGACCGGGTTCAGAAAGGCTACCTCTAAAGCTGCGCGGCCGGAGGGACCTACAGAAAGAAGGGGGATTGCATGCTACTTAAAGGTGGCACTAGCCACCTGAAGGTTCAGATATTACCTATCTTGACAGGTTACTCCCTGTCACAGTTGGTCAGCCGTCTGAGCGGATACTCTCTTGCACTGTCTATCTGTCAGTTGGATGTGCCGTCGCCGAGGGACTTTCGGAACCACCTGTGATTTAGATGCAAAGGTTGAATCCAATCAGTGAATGGTACAGAATTCTGGCACGATCTCAAAAATATTTGACCTTCCTTCAAAAAGTTGTGGTGAAGTTACAGCGAGCAGTATTTACAGGCACTTTACCACCACTTACTTACACGTTTGTTACACATCACCCCGTTGAGAATGGCCGTTAAAATACAGGTAGCCTGGCACAGGGCAGTGGGCGAAGACTGCTGCAGCTGCTTGCTGGACCCGCAAACATCAACAGGAACACTCCATTCCTTTTGGACTTGCCAAAAGTATTGTATGCCTCTCTGGCACAACCTTAACCCGACGACTTTCAGCACAGCAGGTTACCTAACATGCTTTGCTTTTAGAAAAGCCTGATCATGGATCATAAACTAGAGAAGCCCTGTCATGAAAAAGGCGACCTGCCTGCCCAGGCTAGGTCACTCTGTCGTCTCACGAACCATTCGGGCAAGTCAGCAGATGTGTAGTGGCCTCGCCAACTCTTGGCCACCAAATCGCTGCCAATGGATAGGTACCGGTGCCGAAAAGCCCACTGGTCTGATTAATCTGAACAGCAGGGACTGTTTTCACTTGTTATCGACCCGAGCCCAACCCGCTTTTGCCATTCCGACCTTTCCGTGCCATGAGTCTAGGCGGGCCAAAATTGAAGATCACCTACGAGGAGTTGCCACGACGATCAGTTCTCGCTTAGTTTGTTCGGGCAAACAAGAGAGGTTGGTCGCACTGGGTGCTGCTGGCTGTCAAATGAGGTCTGTGAGCACCGGGCCAACGCTGCAAGATCTTTGAGCTTTTGCTCTGTTGCTCGAAGACTCCGCCTCTTCGGTACCCGATTTTATATCTGGCTGCGGCCAGGTCCTTCAGTATAGTTCGGATCGCGACTGGGAGTTCTGAAACCATAACTGCAGGGACGGGTAGAGGGTGCTCATCCGCTTTCCTGCGCCAGGCTTTTATGCCGCATCAGAGGATCCAGATAAAAGCGTGATGTGAAAGAGCAGCTTGGGGAATATTATCAATGGATCACAGATAAATCCATGACAATCCGTATCTGGCTGCCACAACCAGCATTTCGTTTGCGACCATCTACACTACACTGTTATTGCCGGGCAGCGGCTTTCGTGTCTACAGCAGTTACGTGGATATGGGCGGTCCCAATTTCAACACTCGTACGGCGGACCGTTTTACTCAGTCAAAAAAAAACAAAAAAACACAAAGGCGCAAACGACCCTAAACCCCTCACGATACAAAGATACTTCTAAGTTAACTTGCTCGAGCAAGGCTGCTCGTCTTCCCCAGTGGGCCCTTGGTCTTGGTCCATCGCTCATTTGGGCAGCTCTCCGGCCCAATGATTCGCTGGGAATGCTCAAGATCCCGGCAGTTGATCACCCATCCCTGCCAGTTGTGGTCGCCCAGCTGACAGTAACAGCAATGACACTCCAGTACCTGCTTATCGAACCAGTTGTGAACGGAATAGCCTGCCCGGCGACGACAGAGACCTGGTTCCGCCGAGATCCGACATCAACCAAAGTTTAGAATAAGTGAGCAACGGGACATCATGCGGTCCTGTCCTATCACATCAAGCCAGCCTTGAGCGACGCAAAAAAAGCATCGGCCTGTGGTTGTCTTCTCCTGCAGTGTGTCGATTTGATTGAGGCTCACGTTACGCTATACCTAGCTACCCCTCTTCTCATACTTGAGCCCCTCACTTGAGCCCTTTCAGCGTGGTTGGCCGGCTTGAAAACTTGGGAGCATCAGTAGGCAGGCCTGGAACGGGCACTCAGCACTTATCCTGCAAGCCGAGCCTGGTTCAGGATCAGGACCGGACTGATCGCGAAGCACTCATGATGTTACCATTGGCGAGCCGAGAGGGAGCTGCAGACGGCCAGACACACAAAAGGCTCCGGATACCGCATTCCCGGCCTTCGACTTGCGCCAGCTCAAGACCACAGGGAAACTGCGTGGGTGCCAGGTAGCCAACCGAACCCGGGGCGGCCTTTAATCCTATACAGTGAAGAGTATCGAAAAGCAACCAGGTGAGTTTCTACCACCCCCCTCCCCCGCTTCTCTTCCAGCCACATCACCGACCCTGGCTGAGCCCAGGCTGAACACTCAAACCACAATTGTGCACTTGACCCCATGCTCTTCCAGAAATGTGGTGGCTCTGGCTCGGATGGAAATTGAGCCTGGTGCAGCAGGGTTTTCAGTCCGGTTCGGCCCTAGCAAGCGGCTAATGACGTCGCACTGTTGTCTGTTACCCACAGCAAAAAGTGTGCTCTTGTGGGCGAAAAAAGATCTCAAACGAAGGCGAACAGAAAGTTTGGCATACATATATCTGATATCATTGCACCACAAAAGGCAGCCGTGTCCAGTCTTCTCCATTGACTTGCGTTGACCTGGCGTTTTGCAACCCGAACCGGATTGGCCTTGATGGAGCCTTTGCCACTTAACCAGTCACCGCCCACCGACCACCGCAGCACCGTTCCGTAGTCACCGCATCCCTGCAGCAAATGGCGCAGTGTGGCCCAACGAACATCGGTCAGTTTCCTCGTTTTGTGCATGCGTGAAGAGCTTTTGCCATTTCGACTTGCTGGTCAAAGAATCGAAATGTGGGAGTGGACCGTTATCCTGCCTGTTGGCTTCCGTTAGTTTGATGTGTCTGTTTGCCGCATATGGCTACTCGTCACCCCCGGATCCATCGATCCATCGTCGTTCGCTTCGGACACATAATGCAACGAACCCTCTTACAGAAACCCTGCTGCGCTAATTCCTCACCCACACGGAAGAACATGGGATGTCACGTCCTTTGCTTTGTTGAAAAGAAGGAGATCTTCGCACCAGATGTTCTGGGATGATCACAATTATGGCATACGAAGCCTCGCAAATCGAGGAAGGCTTGCGCACCCTTTATTGGCTCTCCGGATCACTTCCACAACTTCTCCCGACCCCGACCGGGCCCCGCTCTAGCTCGGCATCGGATGGAGCTCACACATGATCGGTACCCGACCGGTCTTGGCATTCGGGGCCGAAGCGTTACCCACCTTCCCATCCTTCGGTATATGGGCAAGCCGGTGGCGAGCATGTCACACTATTATGAAGGTGGCCGGCCCGTCTACCTATGTTTGTATTACGCAACATTTTTATGCCGATTTACAAAGCTACAAGTCGCCTTTTCGTCTGATATCCGCAGATACGCGGTGCAATGACACAGCAAAACATAGGTAAGGGGTTAGATGAGATGAAAGCGTCACGATTTCGGATGGAAATCAGCTAGGGGCCTGTGAAAATGACGTCAGAGAGCGGACGGAGGCTTCAACAGGCTCGTCCATCTATTGGCGAGTAAGTTGATCTCCTCACCTAGGGGTTGAGACTTTCCACTACCGCGATGAGGATTACTCGGTGAAGTTAAGAACGTGTCTTGGCCAGATCCCAAGTTAAGCAGACTTGTGAGCGCCATATTATTGTGAAAACCACTTCGGTTTCCCTGGTGTCCAGTGGGGCGGTAGAGGTCGATTAAATATCGGCAAGCAGACGGGGAGTTTTGAACGTGAAAAGGTAGCAAACCCAATAGACTTAAAAGGGCACTTGTGGCTCGGAATGCCATTACGCCCAGTAGTTCATTCGGAAGTAAATCCCTAGAACTGAAATGCCTTGCCTTAGTCTATGCTGTTTGTTCCTCTCACTCCGATCTTGATTCCCTCTTCCCCAAATCCATCGATCGAATCTCGATCCATGCGAGCGCCTAGGATCAAAGCTCACTTTTTAACAAGTCGGTACTTCCCACCAACTATCTCCAACAACCCCTCGCTAACCTTCTCCGACAAGAAATCTCCCAGCTCCTCGTTGCTCCACGGAAACCCATCAGCTATCAGCATCCTTAGCATCATAGCAATCTGCGCCAGAGGCATGGTCGCGCTGGCATTCGTAAGCATGCCCTGCACGTAGCGCCAGTACATCTCGCGGCGCTCACGTTCCTTGGCCGAGAGCCCTGCTCCCACTCCCACAGCAGGTTGTCCCTGAGCAGCTTCTGCCGCCGCCGGCTCCTCTCCTCCTACAGGAGCAGTTTCCGGCTCAGGCTCCGCTTCTTGCAGGGTCTCAACCACGACATACTGGTTGCCACTTGTGCGACGGAGCACGCCCTGCGAGACCCAAAACTGCAGCGCGGCTGTAATGAGGTCCTCATCCATTTGGAGCCGTTCGTAGAGCTCATCGACAGTCTTGCGGACAGGTACCTGGCTGTCGGAACCCTCTCCTTGATCTTCTTGCTGGAACGCGTAGATGACAGTCGCCTCAAGAGTACTGCAGTCCACAGTCACAGTTCTGTCGCGCAGTTCGAGCTCGACACAAGCCTGGCCTAGCTGATTCAGCCAGGTCAGCTTGCGTCCACTCTTCAGACTCTCGTAGCCCTGTTCGTAATGCTTCTGCTGTTCAATAACGGGTTGTGGCAGCAGGAAGTGCTCGCGGTCAAGATTTGGCCAGAATAAACGTGAGAGAATGCGTGCGTGGTATTCCATTTCTCCTTCGTCTTGCGCATCACGCTTCCCAGATCCCCTGGCAGGCGTCACCAAGACTTGTCGCCGATGAACCCGTGCGCGGTTGATAGTAGCATCCAGACGGCGTGAGTCCTGGATATCGCGTATCATGACATCGCAATTTTGCAGCGCTGCTTCGCCGAAACGGCGCTTGAGCAAATCGAGCACACGCAACTCCTGGTCGAACCGCGTTGGTTCGCCCAGCAGACGTTCGGCAACAATGGTTGAGAATTCCTTGATGAAAACGTCCTGACTGCCGAGCGCCGAGATAAGGGTACCGATTACGTCTTCGCTCTTGGGTCGTTTGTAGTTGGCACCAGCGTCAACAGGATCGGGCACCCAGTTCATATCATTCCAGTCAAGGTCATCGTCGGCATCAGGAGCGACACGGCGAGTCTGTGTCGGATCGTTCAAAAGCAGAGCAAGCTCAACAAGCTTCGCTGGTTTCGAATTCTGCTCCTGCTTCACACTATCCGTGGCGTCAATGACCTCTGGAGTGCTCTCGCGTCGTCGCTTGTCCCCTCCGGGAGTCCTCTGGGATGGCAGGGGCATGGTGGGAGTAACAAACGGCCCATGGTCCGCCCTTCGTCTCCCAGTCTTCCCTTCACCTGTCCTTGGTATCTTTTCCTTCTCTTTTCCCGTTCCACTTTTAGCCTTCCGCGCGGCTCGCATTTCTTCAGGGCTGGCAAGAAGACCAGACACAACAACCCGGATTGCATCCTCCCGCTGACACAGATACAACTGTAAACCCGGTTCAACGTGACTCAGAAGCACTTTGCTGGGATCGAGGGCGTGCAAGGTACGAATGATCGAGATGTAGGTGCGCAAGATATCGAGAGTGCTGCAGCCTGGGTGCAACAACCGCGTTTGCAAAGCATGAGAGAAACTGTCTGTCAGCTGTTTACGCCGAGCAGGTGTCGTAATGGTAGCACGCAAGTCATCCAGTGCACCACGGGAAGCAGGCCACGCTAGGACGATATCAAAGAGTTCTTGTATGCGCAGAGCAGCTAGTCTACCGAGGGCGAGAGACTGGTATGTTTGGAGAGTGGCTTTCGACGCCGCCGAGGTATTCAATGACTTGGGTGAAATACACGACAGGACTTCCGTACTCAGTCGTGCAAAGCAGTTTTCAACCCAGTCGTTGAGAGAAGAGATACAGCGTGAAGCTGAAGCAGATAGTGATGCAGATCGTGAAATGGCATCCATGCTGGCCGAGAGTGGGCGCGAGTCTACACCTCCCCAAACACCAGCATAGGCCCCTGTCACGAAAGAGGACATCATAGCATCCATTACCTCGGCGAACAGAACATGGAAGCGTTCGCCAGCCAGACCTACGCTATGAAGCTGCTTGACAAGCTCGAGGAGACGTTCCCTAGCTGCTGTAACCTTCGGGTCAGCAGGATCAGGGGGTGCTGGCCGGGAGTCCTGAAGTGTTCCGACCTCATCCGGGCATGGAACCCCAAGGATCACACCGACAAGATGAAACAAGACAACTTTAACCGATCTCATCAGCCCCTCCGAGGCAGAGTTGCTGACAAGAGCGTAAATATCGCGACGGAAGCGGGCGTTTAACAATTCCCCACCATCGTTGACTACACCCACGTTGTCTTCAGCCAGACGTCGAAAGCCCGATATGATCTGGTTCATCCCTTGAAAATACAGGCGCAAAGCGGCTTCAAGGGTGCGGATACAGGTCCTCACAATGACAAGATGCTTATCATAACGGCTTCCCTTTTTTGCTGGTTTCCTCCGGCGAGTAACTCGCTTGCCATCAATGTCATGTTCCAAACTACCTGCTGCTTCCTCCTCATCACCATCATCTGGATCAATTGTGCAACCAGACAATAGCGGAATCACGTGCTGGGCAAAGTGAGCCCTGACTTGGTTGACATGCCATGCCACAATGTCGGCGGTGCGTGTGGCACCAGGGAGAAGGATGCTGGCATTAACGACAAGAGCGAAGGCATCAAAGAACTCGGGATTGACATCTTCTCGTGGGCAGGATTGCTGTAGTGACTCGGCAGTCAGAGGCTCAAGCGAGCCTTGAGCAATGGCAGACGACGGTAGGGAGATGCTGGCAGTTACAATACTCCAGGCACGATCATACGTAGCCTGGTCGTCTGCTGTTCCAGATCCCAGTAAGCCTGAATGCAGTTGCGGCTGTTTTTGCGCTTGGAATGACGGGCCTGGAGCGGCTCTTCGTGAGGAGACAGAGGCGGGGCGTCTTCCTTCGGGCTGCTCTTCCTTGGGAGCAAGGGAGAGGTGTCCATAATGGAGATGGTGGCGATGATGATGCTGCTGTTGTTGCTGGTGCCCGCCAAACGGTTGCTTAAAGCCCAGAAAGGAAGTGTTGCTTGCCAAATCGGCGCTTGGCTGGTGGAAGTCAGTCTGAAAGACGGAGTGAAACACACGCCGACGTCGGTCTTTCCATTGAGATGCAACAGCAGCAGGCATTTTGGGTGGTTATGCCTTTCTCGCTCGTTCTGCTGGTACACGCCTATCTCTCGGGCCCTTGAGATGCAAATCTCTCGCATGACAATGCGAAGGCGTACCAGATCCTGGTGATAGCTCCCCAACTCGGAGCCAAACAAACCAATCAGTGGCAATGATGTCCGAGACAAGTCAGCTCGCCTTATGGGGTGCGTGGTAAGCGAACAAGCGGCTATGGTGTGTAAGTGAGTGCCCGATGGTCGGGAACTGCCTTGCTTTGGCACAGCGCTTCCGTGCAGGCAGCTGCCTGTTTTTGGGTCTCCAAAAAGATGGATTGAATAGGTGGGCTGGCTGCCTTGTCTGGCTGCTTGGGGTGGCTGATCTTCACGGGTCGGGTAGTCTGGTTCGGTAATCGCAATGGAGATGGCTGGAACCAAGCCTTCCTCAACCCACGTATCGTGACCGACGGTCTTTTGTTTGGCGGTTGGTAAACAACTCCTTGCACTCGGTTTTCTCCCATGAATCCCGGTTCAGCTGCTTGTCGGTGAACTCTCGCCAGCTCTTCAACGCCAACGCGCTTAGCTTTTGCCGTCTCAGTTCTCTGGATCGCAGACTGGGCCGCACAGAAACAGGCCCGATAGGTGGGTGGTATAAACAAGAAGGCGAGCCGGTGATAACGGATGTGAAGATGTGATGATGATGATGGCGGTGATAGTTGGTCAGCCAGCAGGAAGAAAGGCGGCGCGATGTCGACTAACAGGTCAGGTGGGTGGCATTCGTCGAATTGTTACGGCACAGCTTGTCTGCTCAGCAAACCTCGCCCACTGACAGCGTCAATGTCGGTCGCCACTTCACCAATCCGATATTGATGCTGGGAGCAGGCGCCACTATCAATCCAAGCAAGCACCGCCTGCCAATGCGGCTGCAGTTCCGCGCGTACTTATCAAGCGCTGGAAGAGCGCGTCTGCACGTGGTTATGGCCAACAGAAGAGGCCTGCCTTCCTTTTTCGACAGGAATGGTGGTGTTGTGGCCGCGTTCGTCGGCCTTGATGTTGAGCACCCCGCGTCTGTCAAGAGTCAAACATCCGGATCGGGTTGCTAAGCAGTATCGAATGCCAAGACCTAAACAAACTTTCCGCGCTTGTCGGTGGTCAGCGGCGCACAGATTGTCCAATTAGCCGCGCGTGCCGCGCGTTAGCGCAATCCTTCCGAAACCTGCCCTCAGCATCCCCGCAGGGCAACAACAACCTGGAGCACTGTTTACTGGGGTAGAAAAACATGGTTTATGCGAATATTGTCCTACTTGAAGTATTGATCAATTGAGGCCCCCGATATCCGACTCTTGAGACGTTTGGCCCTTGTTCCCCTTTATAGCAATAATCGACAAACCAGGATGCTCAAACTTTCAGCGGAGAAGTTTTGGCCCCCAACTCTCAACACACAACCACTTCGGATGCTTTCCACCACAACCGAAATCAAGCATTCCCCATGCTTTAGGTTGCTGCCCTACGCCGCGGCACATGGATGATGGACTCTCTTTTGACGCTAAAAAAATATCCCATCAGCAGGGTAATTCCGACAGCTCGCACTGGTTTGGCGGTCGAGTGACCCCGGTCTTGACCTGCGCCAAGCTGAAGCTTTTGTCCCTTCGTCTCGAGGCGCGCGATTTCGTGATTCGCCATTGTTGTTCCCCTCATACCTTTCCCACATCCGACATTCTCCGGTTTCCATAACTCTGTTGTACGCGCTCCCTTGTCGAATTATCCCGTTACACCACTCGACACTGCCATGCTACAACCATGACCCGCGAGATAGCTTGTAATTTCTGATTCGCAGGGATACGCAGTTCTTGTTGTCGTCCATGACCTGATGACGCACTTCATCACCGCTACCGCACTAACACGGCCAATTCTCGGTCGCCAGAGCATCAACAGTGGCTTTGCTAAAAACTTGATACTATGGAGCACATCCGCGGAGCGTGGGCAAAAAAAAGGGTATATCCCTGATGAGATCTCAGCACTATCTGTCCCAAGGTCCTTGCAGTCCTCTTGCTGTGAAGCCCCTCATTTCTAGTGGATGGCAAGATTGTACAATCAGTGGCTGTGCTGCAGAATGGACGGAAGAGCAGTACCGAACACGCTGAACAGAACATCGGCATAGGTAAACAAGCAACTCCCGCGCTCTTGGAGGGTCAAGGGCAGCTTGAGGATCTAACTTTTTCCAATGACCTTCCTTCATCAGCCCCCCAACCCATGGCAAGTTTAGACCACAGCGGAGAATGTCATATGCTAGCGGATAGCGGACGAAAGGACGCCAACGCTACCGCAACCCTTGCCCGACTCTGATAGCGTCCGTGATGTCTAGGCACCACCGCCCTACGGTACCCAGATTTCCACGTTAGCGTCATCCACAAGGTTCCGCTGGACATGGGCTGGATACCCCTTAAGCTTTTCTCCAGCAGGCAGGTGCATACGAACAACGGGGACGGGGTGGAACTTTGTCTGGGCCCCGACAGATCAGTGGAGAGTCTCATCCGCCAACCAGCAGGGTCGATGATCAACAAAAAGTTGCAACTTGCGCCGGTTGCTGGTGGATCTCCCCAATAGTTTAAGGCTTTTGTCAGCGCTGCAGTAGCTCCGTATAGATATCGCAGCTACTGACCCGATCCCGGTCCCTTGTTTCCGGCGGTCGACCCGGATCCGACTTCAGCTTCTGCATACCTCTGATGGAGGGGCTGATCAGGTACAAGACGACGCAAATTTAGACCCAAGCCGACAGTTTTCCTGGGGCACGGGATGATTTGTCACGGTAATGACACTGAGTGTTTTTGGCCGTTAGTCGGTAGCCACTGGTAGCTGGCGCCGGGCCGTTCTCCAGCGTAAAGCTTCTGGAAACATGATTTTGACATGGAAACCCGGATAGGAGCGGAAGGTCGAGCTCCCCTGAGTGGGGATTTTCCTGGAGGCAACAGTAACATAGTTCTGCTTTCCCTCATTTTACTTGCCGTGAGCCACAACGATCCTTCTTCCTTTTTCCGGGGTTCAAGTTCTTTGGCTTTGGTAACATCCAGAACTTGACCTGTAAGACTAGGTGGTTTCATGACTGTGATGACACCACGTGGGTCAGGGATGCCTACGGCACGGACCGGTATGAGCGGCCAGCTAACGCAGGATCTAAACTTTCTCCAACTTTTCAGTGTCTTCATGTCCGTCTTATTCGATCAAAGCTGTAGCGGAGCTTGAAGCCTTTGTGGCACAGACAAGCTTCCAGAGTAGTGTTCTGTCTGCCTCAGGCACTGCTGTTTTAACCAACGCAGCCGCGCCGAGAAGATCTGAGTCTTGTCTGGGGAAGATGTGGGTTATACAGCCCGTCTTTCCTGCCCAACAGTAAAAAGGTGTGACTGTGTGTGCGTATACGCGTGTGTATACCTATATAGCACATTACCAAAGAATCAAGGCATGTACATAGTCTGTTTCCAAAGCAAGAGCTGGCAGCTTCATTGCCTCATGTCTTACGCCGAGCTTGCCGTACCGACGTGGCTGTGTCCCTCGTTTGGTTCGAAAATGTTTGTTGCTGCCTGGGCACCTGTGCTCTCCCCTTGAGCGATGAATTTTTGCCATTGTTTCTGGTCGTTAGGGGAGAGTCGATGCTCCCCGGAACTGAAGCTTGACCGGTTCATTATGTAGCGCCAGGCACAGCCGAGAAGAGAAGTTGAGCGCAATAATTCATGAAACCAAGAGCACAGCGCCACACACCCTGTTTCATTCATCCGTCCCCGCATGGTTTTTGGCCATCGCCAGCATGTTTCGGAGGCTGTCCTGGTGTACAGGGTACGGGCATAAGATCGCAACCGGGCAGACGCCGGTAACATTGAGTAGCATGTGGGCTCCTCACAACGGCCATTCAGACCCTTAGATCACGGCCAAGCCTGACTTTACATAGTACTGCATGTTTTGTTGGCTTGTTGGGTGCTGCTGCGAGTCTGGTACCCGTGAGAGGGACAATGAACGCTCTTGGGCTGCAGACTACAGCAACATGGCAACCAAACACAATGCTCCAAAAAAAACCGTTGTGAGGAGACATGCACCAATCAGGACAAGAGCCCTCCAAAGTCTAGAATCCAGGCTGCAGATGCTGCGAAAACGGGCACAGCAGCAGGCGGTAATAAGGTGAGTGAAGAACGTGACAAATTTGATGATTTGGGCAAACTTCCCAATCACTAGACACAGATTGGTCAAGAATGGGCCGGAGAAATTGGCCGTGGCCAACAGGCCAAGCGGCTGAGTGGACGATGTGTTCATGCAGGGGCCGATCCCTTTCCCAAGGCCATGGGAGTGTTCCAAGCTCCCAGGTCCAAGTCTTCCGGTTGGGTCTGATCTGGAGAGCCACATGTGGCTTACGGGGGGGGTGTGCGTGTAGTAAGATTACATACATAAGCAAGACAATATAGATCCGTACTCTTTGTCTGCTTTAACCCTATCATCAGCTCCAGAACGCAAGCCCTGACTTCATTAAGGCTTTCCCACAAATGCCCAAGCAGGCACGAGCAGACGGTTCCCAAGGTGGATGCGTTGCCCACAACCCGAAGTGATCCCTCCTCGAGGACAGGGCGACAGGCTTTTCGACGTTGGAAGGCCGCCACAAGGTGAAGCCTCCGTCACGCCGCGGACCGCTCCCGGCTAGTCATTGATGATCAACCTCTGACGAAGCAGCTTGGCAGAGATAGCAAGACCCACAGAAGCGCAGAATGACCCACTCGGTGAATTAGCGCAAACAAGCGGTCCCGGTCTTCAGACGGTGTAGTGCCGGACACGACCGGTCACAGCTGAAATGCTGGGGGAAGCCGTTTGTGGCCCGCCGGTGTAAGCTCCGGAGGAAAGTTCAAGCCCCAACAAGGAACTACAAGACGAGCTGTTCGAATGAGGCTCAGAGCTGATGACATGCAGGCAACGAAGTTTTGGATTTATGTCTGCCAATGGCTGCGCGGTCATTGTCTAGCAGTGACTTTTGAACAGCCAATCGATAACGAAGACGGCCGGCCAGATGTCTGGGCCAAAAGTTGTTGTGTTCTTACAGTAAATCGCGTATATTGTGCAATCAGACGGAGTAGTTAACCGCAATTTTTGTAGTAGCCCCTGAGAATGTCACCTCCTGCAAGCCCTTGCTATTTCCATGGAGGCTGTGTTAAGTCCAAAAGTTCTTGGTATCAGTAATTAAAGAAGCGAATTGATTCAAGGTTATCTAGTCGACTTTTCGATCTTTTATCTCAGTTAACAGCACCCTCTTGATGACCATTGGTGTGTTACGGTCCCTCAAGCTCTCCGGCTTTACACCCTGCACAATGGTAGTAAGCTGGTTAGGGCGAGGCCGATGGTTGTTTCAACCAGATACTTTTTTTAAAAGAAATCAATGTAACAAGCCGCAGCGCTTGTAGATTATGTGCTTAATGGCATGTGACTGACGTTGTGGTAGTCAATGGCTGGTAACTTCAGAGAGCTCCCTACATGCTGCATAACGTATTTGGGTTTCTGTACATATGTTTCTCTGTAAGTAAGACTACCCTTTGTCAACAGTTTATGGTATGACTAAGTCCCATGCTTCATCTCATGAGAGAAAATTAGTTGATAATTGAATGTACATGTTGTTCCTTGAGATATTCAAACGCTCCCGAGCTTGTACATGTTAAAGACTCAAAGCTGTTGTTATGAGCAAGGTCAGGAAACTGACAACAGCGGTGACTCTTCAAAGGTTTTGAGCAAACGAATAGATAGATTAGGAAAGCATTTGTATGAAAACCTCACTTGTGTGTGCGAGGCAACGTGAAAAAGCCAGTTTCCCGGGTGATCTTGGTCACATCCCCACCATGCGATGCTTCCCTCGCTGTATTTTGCCACTCTCTTAAGCGCCCTTGTGGAGCATAACAGCCCTTTGAATGATACAATTGGGTAAAATATGCAACAGATACTGCTTAAGATCCAGCTGCATGCTCATGCGTCTCCCCGGGATTGCAACAGACCAGCTGACGGCAGGCGAACGATGGCAATTGGCCAACTTTTGCCGACTGGAGTCCAACAGTGAAGCCTTGTTGTCTCGTCTTGCAACCCGGGTTGCAAGGCCCTCACTATTATGCAAGTCTAGGAGGACATGATACTTGAAAAAGGGCTCACTCTGTTTTCCCTGACTGACCTTTTAGACAATGGAGTTTCTTTTGTTGTCCTAGCCAGGCACGCAGCGGCTGGAGTTTTGAGAAATTTGGCTCCATCCCTGAGCGCCATATTCCAGAGAGTCCTCGCTTGCTAAGCCGAGAGCGGGAAGGGGAAATGGAGATCGAGAAGCATACGAAATGACTCGTCGTATTTGCAGACGAGGGTAAGCTTGATGCTGCTCTAAGATTTAACTAGCGTTCTTTACTGTGTAGCAATATCATTTATGTAATGGTCACAGAAAAATAAGTGAAACTGCCTCAAATTTCCCTTAACCGTAACAACGAAGGGTATACATCATGATTCCCAGACCTAAAGGCCATTCGTATGCAGTTTGTAGCCATATCAAGACTTAGATAACTCCAACGTAAAAGTCACAGAGCTTCATGTTGACTTGGATGGTAATTTCATGCTATTTCTTTGTATATCTTAGACCAACTAAACATGATCGTAGTCATCTTGTCATGCTATTCTGAGTACAAAAACTATCAACAACGACTTTTGTTTTTAACCGCGATCCAAGAAAATGGAATGACCGTCGGTTTTGCGATCTGCCTATATACGCCCTTTGTTCCCGCGCTCCAATTCCTTCTAATGAAGTTCTGCCCAGATGTAAAATGCCAGTTCGCTGCTTGTCCAAGTAGCAAGCCCAAATCCCCCCAAATATTAGCCATACCCCCAAGTATATGTCCCCCCATGCCAAACCCTATGTTATACGGCAGATTAGGAAAAGCGTGGAGGTAATGCCATCGTGGAAATCGAATATCGCCGTGAATATTAGACAGCCTAAAGGAAAATGAACTAAGAATCCCATAAAATGCAACGCCGTGGAAAGATTGGCTCATGTGTTCCCGTTACCTGGAGTTGGCAGACTCCGTGGGTTGGCCGTTTTGTGGCGTCGTCGACCCAAGGCCCGAAGTCCCATTAGTCTGGTTTTGCTGACTCTGTTGGTTTTGTTGGTTCTGCTGATTTTGTTGACTCCGCTGATTTTGCTGGTTCTGGATATTTTTTTTCTTGCATTTGTCGTGCAGCAAGTGCCCGTTGCGTGCCGTTGTCCTAGTAAACTCCGCCCCGCAGTTTGGACAAGTCGCCTTTGCTGCCTGCCCAGACTTCTCACGCTGATGCCGTAGGAGGTTGCTGAATGTCGAAAATTGCCGCCCGTTGCACCCATGGTCCCAGCACTGTGGCTTTGGCCGGCTCTGTACAACTCGAACCTGGCTTCCTGCAGCAGCAGCTGCTGCTGCGGCTGCAACGGCGGCATTTGCATTAGTCACAGCCGGATATGGTTGAGCAACTGGGTGATAGACTCCAAGACTTTTGAGAATCAGTTAAGTCAGTGAAGTTGCCATGATGCGGATCGGCATTGTTAACACGTACCCGTACTGCTGTGATGGAAGACTTGGGGCTGCCGGTGGGGGATAGCTGGTGTAATCCAGGTATGTGTTCTGTGGAGGAGAGTAAGGTGTGGCATACATGCTCGGTGTTGGTTGGTTGTATGGCCCCATGTACTGAGTAGGAGGTTCAGAGAGTAATGGAAGCTGAGCGGGTGCTGTGGTGTAAACGGGTAGTGCAGTTGTGCTCGTGGTCAAATCCCCCAAAGTTGCCGGAGGTGAGTAAACTGATGAAGCCGGACTCTCCATCCTCCTTCCACGAATCTGAAGCTTAGCGTTGTGCCTCGCTTGATCATGCTGACGCTTCAATTCTCGCTGCTCAGGAGTGAGGCCAATCCTCGGCGGGCTCGCTGTGACTGATCTGGATCCGCTCGGCGGGGTGTAGCCGGCGTCAGACCCATACGCTCCATACTCCGGCGGCACCAGGCTACTCCCAGAATCCACCCCTATAACAAGTCAGATACCATCTGGTGGATAAGGACGAACAAAGACAGCGTACCTGGCCACGAGGGGTAGGCTGACCTAGTGCCGACGCTGAATCCGGGATCATACGAAATAGCAGTAGTGGTGCTTGTCCGAAGTGTTAGGTCCTCATAAAGGATGATGTGACAATCCTTGGAAAGTCTTACCTCATGGTTTCTGTCTCAGTCGACGCAAGGGGTGAAGATGATCGCGTCACTCGCGACTGTGCGGTCGCAGACTCTACTTGGAGAAGCGGAGTCTCTCGACTCTGGCACTTTGCACCAAACCACTCCGAGTTTGTGGCTCCTTCTGATGGAAGCAGACTAAAAGGCTGCTGCTGTTGAGAGACTGGTGTCGAAAGAAAGCTTGGTGACTGTGAGAGGGTTGGACTGAAATATGCCGGCGACGGCTGTCCTTGAGAGGACTGCGATCTGGTGCTAGGATAAGACCCAATGTCGAAGGATGAGGAGTCGGCGACGTGGAGATTAGGAAGGAAGTCTTCCGTGGTTGACACACCACTACCAGTTCTTAACCTGGAGAACTGTGAGTATGTCTCGCCGAAGCCGTGACCCGCGTATGTCGAATCCATCTTCTTGTGAGAGTTGATATGGGTCTGGGATAGGCAGAAAGCGATTGAACAGTACATACGTGTGTGTACGACTTTCTTCCCTCCGCTAATGGCGAGGCCCAGTCGAAGATATGTATGCTGCCTTTTATATGGGAATTGATCAAGGGCTGCTGTCGTGTAGTCTCGACGACGAGGAGTATTACACAGGTTTAGATATGTTTCAAGGGTAGAGAGCACCTTCTGAAGCCTGGGACAGGCTGTGGTAGAGGACAAGGAGCATGGCTTTTTAAAGTACAACCGAAGAGCAGCACCGAGTATCCCCACTAAAGCGCCGTTACCTTGGACGGGGGCTTGCAGGAGACCCTGGACGAAGATATGAGGAAAGGGGGGGTGTGTGTATTCATGTTATGGTGTGGGAGAACTGGATCTGTCAGGCACAAGTCGGCTGCGCCGCACCCCCCACCCATCGAGGTCCCCGCGCCCCGGAGAGGGTGACAGTGGAGAGGGCAGGGCTACGGTTTTGGCGTATGTAGATTCGTTCAAGCTGTCAAGAATCAACGGTGTTCACACAACAGCGCAGCGCAGATATTGTATGGGCGCAGGGTGCAGCCCATGAACACTATTCCCGAGAGAGTAGTGGAAAGCCAGTACTCAAGGAATCCCTGGTCTTGCCCTCGATTCAGCAGATTGCTGGTTTTCGGTCTTTTCGTCAAAAACTGCCTATCACCAGTTAAGTGCGGACATCGATTTTCCGATCTATTCTTGATTTGAAACTACGTAACGGGCATGGTAAATGGATCCTCATGTGCACCAGGAAAAAGAGTCGGGATGGCGTAAATGAGGTGAGGTGAGTGAGCAGGGGGGCCAAAACGCGATGTCTTGTGTTCTAGGCTCCAACATTACCGATCTATTCAAAGTCGCTCGCGGGCACACTGTGCCGCATTGCTGTGTGTTAAGACGGCGAAATCAGCCATGCTGAATGCGCCGTGGACGAGCAGTAAAGTTCAACTTGAGAAAGATGGATGTTGTACCCAGGACCAAACTCGTTACTTGTGTGGGCGTGCCAGAGCTCCGCAGGGCTGCAATTCCACGCCGAGGTGAGACCCAAACCTAAACGCTAGCCGGTGACTTAAAGCTCAGATGGTCGAAACCCTTGCTGGGGGGATGGCACAACCAAAGCAGATGATCCGTACTGATCTTTGATGCTGAGGTCTGTCGACAACGCAGCACGTACGGCGCAAGTTTAACCGCTTCGATCTTTGCCGGGAAATTTAGACTCCAGGCCGTTTCCGGAGTTGAAGCGGCGCGATTGCAGTTGTTAAGTCTCTGAGTGCCAGTTTATGATCAACAAGACATCCCGCACGCAGAGGACCAAACGGCTTATGGCTGACCTCAACGGCTTTGGTGAGGAACCCATGAAGCAAGCTCTCGGGGCTAAGGAGCACCACCTTGCGCTTGGATGATGTTAACGGGGCAGGATTGGAACGTTTATAACGAAGCAAGGATCTAGGGGAGGAGGCGCACTGGTTGGCGGGGCTGTGAGTGGGGCTGTTGCGTTACATACATGGACAGGGCAAAAAGTTGAAACCCCCAAGCACTAGGCAACCCACAGCCAAGGTACAGAGTCTCTATCTGTATATTAATCTCTAGTTCAATTTCACGTAAGAGAGGATCGATTGATGGGTTAAAGCACTAAGCAAAAGTTATTCTGGGCCACATCCTACTTACTCAATTAATCATGATGTTAACTAACTTTTACGAATCTCTCCTCTCTAACGATGAAAATGCGTTTCTCATTTTTGTTCAGGTTGGCGTCTCGAGAGTGCCCCGGGGGAACCTTCCGGGAGGGCACTGGTCAATAAGCGTTAACCCTTCAATGGGAACATAGAGCGCTAAAGCCCATGCCTCTAGCTACGGTCGCAGGACTTGTACTTAGCATTTTAACATGCTGGTTGTGGTTTTTTTTTACGTCTGCATATAGTTAACGGTGAATGGGCTCTGAGGTAATTGAATCACAATGACTCAATTGGAATTGCAGTTCGAGTTGATTAACCTTGAGTTTCGATATCCATAGCTTCCAGGCAATAAACCGACGAGAACCGCAAACTCTTGGCTGCGGGGAAGAGAGGAGTCGTGCTCGAAGGATTCTGATCCTTGTAAGCGCTCAACGATGGCCTTTTCTCATGTACTTACCTATTTATTTGGTTAACCAATATGCAATAAGTAGATTGTAATCCCTGTTCAGACACATACGGAGGTGGCTCCAGGATGAAAACGGCCTTTCTCTTCGTGGGTGAGCCGAGTGCCTATCTCATCGTTTGTTGATGGCTGCATCTCGCTGCCTTAAACCTTAGGCCTGAAAAAGCGCCCGGTATGCGACATTGCAAGCATGCAGCCCACAAATCAGCCCAAAGCACACAGCCAACACATTCTCCCAGTGTCCTTATTACCTATGATGCTACTGAAAGATAGCCGTAGTCAGGCTGTTGTTAGCCGGAGGGCTCCTTGTGTGTCTTTTCGAAGATGCGGTTCCCACCACTCGCGTTTAGACGAAGCATAAAGAACGCAACTGGTCCAGTCAAAGTTACAATCAAGTGCCTGGGTGCTCATTGCCATACATGATGCTACCACCTCTAATGTTTTTTTCTAATCGTGATAACTTCAGTTTCCGGTTTATATCTCTCACTACCAGATAGTCAAGAGATATTGACCCCAGTTGCTGGTATACCCAAATATGGAGAAGGCGTTATCTGTCTGCTACAACAGCCCTGCCAAAGCAAATACCGGGTGAGGCTGTCTAGCCGACAAGAGGCTTCGACCGTGATTTGCTGGTACCATCATGGAAGTTATATCTTGGCAAAACCATGATGAGCTCGTACCAGCTCCCACACCCGGCAAGTTCAGGCTGGGTATGACATTTTGCGCGCAAGAACATGGGAAATCGGCCAGCATCGTGCAAGGCAGTCATCCCGTTTTTTCGATGCTATAGTGTACACCGAAAAAAAAATCTAGAGGCACGGACGAAGTTAACAAGCCTGTCACGCTGGTATATATTTGGTATAGGTTGCGAATCTTCTACATTTCTTAATCGTCGCCTAGAATTGCGGTCGGGGCGATGTCACATTTGTGGATGCTGGTACGGATGTTATGATTTCCTTAATCGCAAAAAGCAAAGAACCGGCAGGGTTAAGCAATATACAAGTAAATAACATCATATTTAGTTACACAGATTATGCTTGAACATCGGTATTCTCTTAGTCCGTCATATGGCGAAGCCCATCTTGAACAGACATCATCGTGCAATTAAATCGCAGCATCCTTAGCTTCCCCTTTCCATCTAATGCAATTTCTATGTAAGTAAGTGGAATAACCTTAGAATTAACCTAGCAATGGATCACTACCACTTGCAAGAGTCAGTGTTCTCAAGTATAACACATCATCCGCTAAATACACACTTGTCGCTGCACTGGATCTTGCTCGGATACTACGATATATGCCCCATTTGATCGACTTTTTGTATACTTGCACAGGCACATCCTAGGTCGCATTCAATACGGACCCGTACTGCCGGGGCCAAAAACACCGATAAGTTCTTGATTTGGCCCCCAACCGGACAGCTAATCGAAGTCTCTCACGAGCATCATATCTAAGAACATAGCCCGCAATTAACGGGTTTGGTAATTGGCAAAGTAGCCCTTGCGGCCGACTGCTCCCAAAGATGGGCCTTTGACGTTCCGCCGTTGTACTTCGTGTGGATGCTTCATAATCCAAGCCATCACTATTAGGAAAAGACAAGTCGATTGCTTGACACAATACTCATCATTGTCATGCAGTGGTGTGCGCCTTCTAGCTGTCACCTTATTGCTTGCTCATTCCGCTTGAGAATGTTGTTACATTGCTAGAAGTAAACCATGTGCACTACTACCCTAAGCTTGAGTTTGATATCTTGGGCTTTCTCGAAGGTCGGAGATTGGAGACAGATCCGTAGCTCCAGGGTAAAGACGCTAGAATCGTACTGATCCAAACGGAGGTCTCCGTGGTACCTTGCTGGCTGTGTCCCGCAATCCTGGAAGATCTCGTGACTTCGTGTCATGCATCTAACAATCAAAGCTGGCTGCTCGCTTTAAACACGGTACCTCTTCCAGGAAGTCGGAATAGTAATTTGCCATCCTGAGCTCTTGGAGCCTGTATCCCGTTTAGTTTATCAAATCTACAGATTACACATGGTTGGCTCACCTGCTGCCTGCATGGTCGATCTGTCTCACATAATCATACATCTCGGACTCTCAACGCCTGGATTGACAAGGGTGGCAGTGAGAACTTAATTCCTGGGAACTTGACTGTGTCCTGCACGATCTGACCGTTCAACCCGAGATGTTCGGATCACATCGAGCCATCACTGACCCGTGTGTTACACCCGAACCACCTTGGCTCAACCCAAATCGACTCATGATAAACATAATTACATGGCTTAAGTAGCTCCAACTCATGGAGGGGACATGCTGCCGGATAGGCCAAAGAATGTGGCCAACAAAAACATCTATTTGGGATGCCGATTGCCTTCGCCGACGCCAATGATCAGATGGCCGCTCCTGGGATGGCTG